TCAACCCTCAGATACGCTTTCGCGTGTGCTTTAATTTGATAATTGTGCAGAGAACCATTGAAGACCGTCGGTGACCGGCGAAACACGTCAAGTTGGCCGCAATCGCGGTACTTCTTGGGTGTTTTTCTTTGGGAGGGGGGCTCTTTTGGCGTTATCCGAATTTGGTCAATGTGGCCAGTAGGTCTAACACGTTTAAAATATGTAAGTAATTACACATTACAAAATCAAGACATTTAATATTTAGAAGACACGGTATCAAAGGATATAGACAAATGCCCTGATTCATGCCACAATGAACAACGAAGGATCCGTAGGAAAAATGGCCCCTGCACTTTGGTACACGACGTTTTACTTTATTACGCAGATATACGATAAGCACTAATGACAGGAATATTTAATTTCTACCATACATGTCTATTCCCTGATGCGGCACGGCCATGCAATTGAGTTACGGGGAATTTTTGGAACAGTGTCTCACTTGATTAAATATACTAGGTTGAAAAAAGTCTGACTCTCTCTACAACTAGTGAGGAGCCTTCGGGAGTCCAGACCTCAACCTAGCAAGCCGCTACCTCCAATCTGTGTGCAGAAAAGTGGGCTGAACTTGAATCAAATCGTTCCCGATCCCCGAAAGTACACGGGGTTTGGGAAAAAAAATACGAAAAACGAAACCCCCGTTCGATGGTGTTGACACAGTAGAAGCAACCGTCTCCACGGCAACGTGGGCACCGATGTGGACGGAGCAGATGGCCGTGTTCAGGAGCGAGTTCCGGCCTGTCACTTATGGCTCGACGCGCTTCGTTTTCTCCTCGTCGTGGCACTTTTTTTTCCCAAAACCGTCTCTCGGAGCCACTTTCTCTCTTTCTGAGGCCCCAAATTCCATCAATGCCGCCAACTATCTTCAATATTTACTCTGTCCGCGAAAGCGAATGAGGGTAAACATTTTGATGGGCCCCGATCGTGACTGTGATGTGAATAATATTTTCTCTCTATTAAAGGGATTGACGTGTGTTTGCGTATGTGCCAACCTTAGCATACTTACCACCCGTGAATAAAAGAGGTCCACGTTATAATGCAAGGTGTGTGAACCTTGTGTGCACTAAGCAAGGTCTGCATACAACCATTCTAGAAAAAAAAGTTTCAGCTGCATTTCAGGGGCCGGATAGCAGATGGAAGAGAAACACTCAAGGAAACCCTAAACAAACAAACAAACAAACAAAAACTCAGCTTGAAAGACCGTTCTCAGTGCGTGAAAAGTGAGTATCATCACTGAGTTCTCCTAATTACACGAAAACAAAGGGATGCCACACACAGTGGGCAGGTAACGTAAGTATGTCACCAGCGTGCGTTTCTTGTTAGACCCAGAGCAGAAGCGCTCCAGCCGTTGTCACAAAGAAAGACTTAGGGAGTATAAAGCCGGAATCAAGCAGCCATTACAGGCGCAAACGGCTCATCGAGCAACCACAACCATGTCTTCCCTACAAAAGGACAGTAAGTGTGATGCGTGAAAGGTCGATTAGGACGAGTCGAGCGATGGCATTGCGCTGTATATACCAGTCGATCCTGTATGAAATCTCCAACCTGACTTCCCTTTTTTTTTTTCGAAACTGTCGACACTCTTGCACAACCTCGAACCAAGAAAGAAACGCCATTTCGTCTGGTCTGAAAGTAGACAGACGGAGATCGAGTGTCAAACAGAGATCGAGTGATCGCCCGGACTAATTTAACACACCCAGTAACCACTGCACCGTGGTGGATAATAAGTAGAGATAAATATTTCACTTATCCAAGGTAAAAAAAAATGTAACAACCTGTTGGATGAGAACCCCGAACCATATAATCGGGAGTTACAAATCCTAACTAAGGGCGTTTCCAGGGTGGAAGGCAAGAGGGACGTTTGTAGCCCTGGAAAAAAGGAAATTGAAAAAAAGGGGGGAAAGATGGAACGCGGTGGAAAGAAGAAGAGGGCAAAAATTACCAATATGCCTGAAAAATACCCAGAACACCGTTGATGTTTTGTCAGTTTGCTGCTGAAGGGTGTCCTGCCTTCCCAGTAGTCCTGGACGCCCATGATCCAAACTTCAATCATTTAAACCACATCCCTTCCCAAACAAGTTCACAGACCTGCCGGGTTAGAACGTTCTGAAGTCGACAGGACTCGGCGCTCGTATTGTTTGTAAGTTGCACTGCACGTGCCATAGATACCGTAAATACTTTCGTACTTAGCAGCAACTCAGTGTGGCAGTCCGGGGGGACTGCAAATGGGATTTGTTTTTGTTTTTTGCTACACGAAGACTTGCCCATTTTCGGTCTGTTTATATGGAATCACCTCCTAATCCTAGGAACGTGCGAATACCGTTTCTTCAGTACTGGCGATTTCAGTTCCTCAGAATGGACGATATGTCCCCAGGGAGCAAAGTTAACCTTCTGCTGGATACTCCGCAGCAGTTATTCCAATGGTCAGATGACGCCTGCCTCTTTTTACTGCCGCTAGTAACTTCAAGGCTTATTAATACACAGCCCCTTTCGAACGACACGCGCGAGGCGAGGGTGCAATGGGATCGCTCAGTTCCATTAGCCTCCAGGAGTTGGCTCGGATTTATCCTCGATCCCACGGTGTCGCTTGTTTGGAGGGTTGGTCAGGTCCGGGTTGCCCAGTGTGAGCCAATAGTACGCACCCAGTGATAATTAATTTCTGCTGAACTGATGTTGGAACACAGTGTGTCAGTTTTTAATGCATAATACGGGCAATTCACAAATCAGCGGGCCATTGAAGAGGCTGCCAAGGAATGGCCATTTTTCGCAGTGCATTGTGGGAAATGGTCGATATATTCTTTTCGTCGGCTGCGTGCAGGTTTGAGTAGAGGGTCCGTGATACAGGAAACTTAAATTATTCCTAATTTTTGTCAGGGAAGTAGAGTACAGTAGCAATTTTAATCACTCCTTTCTTCCTGTTACATAGAATGTCCCAATCTACAAACAATTCCACTGGTTGTCTACTGATATTCCTGCATGCAACTACAAATCGTGGCTGAGCGGCCATGCTTCTGTCGGCCATAAACTTGAAATATGGCCTCTTTGCGGCACTGACCTTTTGGTGGAGCACCGTTTTGTGTATCACCCCTAGCCCTATTGAATTAGTGTTGTACTCGAGTCCAATACAAGTCCATGCAATTAAGCCTGTCACATCTCAAATAGAAACAAGTCACCCAGTCTCAAGTCATGTCACAAACTATTCAAATGAACTGTGACAAAAGCATTCCTCTGACACGGTTCACCCAGCTTACTTATGACTGGTGTAAAGGACCCGAGAGTGGACATGTGAAGGAAACTTGAGAAAGGACTTGACCGCAACAATGAATCTATCCAGTAAGGGCCAACAGTGTGATGCACCAACGGCTTGAATTGAAACAGTCCAAGGCAGTTTCAATAAGCCAATTCGGTAGTTCGGTCGCGCATGCGCTAACGGCTTTGACAACCCGTTTTTGTTTTTTGGTTTTTTTTTTATAAACAAACTATCCCGCTCCATAGCAATGCACATGTTCACACCCAGTAGTTTGTTTTTTTTTTCTTCAAAAGTAAAAGACGTTCTACGGTGTGCCTGGGCAGTTTGGGGCTATATGAGAGGTGAATAAAGATTCCCCTAAATATTTCTTTTATAAATTCATGTTAACTGCAGAAAGATCCAAATAAATTAAACCTCACTCGTTCGTATGCCAGGTCTATGATATAACATACCTGGCTTATTCCCACACGATGCAGCTTTCACGAAAACAACTTTCAGTCTCGTCGCTATTTTCAATGCAACAAGCGGCTCAAGTTGCACCGTAAGGGTAATAAGCTACCTAGAGAATGCTTTGCGTTTCCGTCACAGTATTTCGAAATTAACTGTTACCTGTGTCCAAACATGCCACAGTGAGTATATGTGTATATTCGGCCGAGCAATACGGGCGACTCACAATGGTGCACCGCCTCCAAGAGTTTGCGACGCGTTGGCCAATCACAAGGCGCTGCATCTGTCGACCCTTTCCAAACGCGCACAGAGCGCACCGACTGTGAAACGCCCGCATTGACTTAATACAGAGTCCGCCAATTTTTAGCTATATGGATAAGGAATTTCATTAAAACGCCTTTTTAAGGCCCCTTTAACATTTTCAGCATATCCACTTGGAAATCTTTGATCTGTTTCAAAGGTTGCCTATAGGTTTTTCTTTCTGGTGATAATCAAGTGTACTTTGCATGGTGAGGCTTGGAAGCCCACAACATACACATGCGATTCTTTGCGTTGCGATTGGCAGAGGCGGGCGTGAAAATGTCACTCACGCTGGTCACGTGATTTCTCTCGCAATTCCAATTGGAGTGATAATATGCATTGCATGGATGTGGTGAAAATGCACAGGGATAACATCATGATTCAAACATTGTTCCCTCTCGCGGCTGGTTCATTGCATTTCGGACAGCTTGCAGTGCATTGAAGCTGTTTGTACATTATTATACATAATGTAAATACAGAAATCAATAGTGCCGCACTTTAATGCAATCACCACAACATAATGCCGACAACCCCATCAAAACTTCAGTATATTATGGCAGAAAATTGATGTACATTTTATTTTACGAAGCTGCATGCCCCGGGCATTCGACTCGGAATTTCTGGAATTTTATTTCGTTTTGAACCTCAGCTGGCCCCAACGACAACGTTATCGTTAGAATTCCGCATATCTACAATCGGTTTCTGACCTCCTTCGGCAGGTAATAAGGTCACCTTAAAGCTACAATCTGGTGGAATGTCGCATTTCTAAGACGAATGCAAGGGCATTTCGGCCAAGAAACTTTTAAATAGTACGGAAATGCTGTAAATAAAACAACAAAGGCTGTTTCAGACCACCTTCAAGTCTCTTCTCAATATAGGCCACGGCGTCAGAACTGTGGGGGGGGGGTCGGATTTTTGTTGTTCATACATGCCTTTTGCATGCAGGGAACATGATATTTAAACATGTCTGCTTTATAGTCTGTCCCCTGATGTCACAGACCTTGGACGCAGGTGTCTGGTGATGACTTTGAGGCATGTAGATATTTTTTTCTAAGAGTCCAGGACATGAACGAACATTTTGTTTTAACATTGGGGAGGGTGTTTCGTTTTAATCAAGGACTCCCTTGTGCCATGGACCTCCATGCTTGCGTTATACAGCCACCATTCTCACAGCACGCTGTCTCCAGCACACCCGGCCCCGTACCGTTCAGTGACACGCCATTTTAACGGGGCGACGCGACGCTGGAGACTTTCTACGGCCTTGCCCCGCGCCAAGATCCATGGTAACCACAACGATCCGCGAGACGGCATTTCCGTTCTGTCTTCCTATAAATATGTTGCAGCAAGACATCAATGATTCACCTTCACGTTAAGACGGATCGGAACCAGCCTCGATTCTGCTGTTGTAAACCTCTCCCTCCAAGATCCACCACGGAGCGACAGTACTACTGCGATACACCCGCCAGTCAGTTCTACTGCCTGTCAGCGACATGGAGCCTCAACACACAATTCGCATTATCTTCAACTTAAGTCAAGTAGGCAATAAAACCACCACTATCTGCGTGGACGAGTTGCGTTCCGGCCTCCCTGGTTCATGGACATCTGCCGTGGAGACTACACTGCTTTCGTGGGTTTCATAGGGGCTGTATGACTTCACGCAGAGTTCATTGGCTCCCAAGCTCATGCCTTTCATTATCGTGCGAAATAAGCTTAGACTTATTTCGGGGCATCAAACATGTTCAGCTTGGGCCGGCTGGCGGCGTTGATGGTATGACAGCGCCACCTAGAGATTATGTACGTCGTTCAACCTCGTACATCTAACACAAAGTAGTATAGTGTATAAGTTTCACAGACTGCTTCATAAAACAGCTACAGTGGTGTGAGTCTGGTTATGAACGAAGGAGCGCCACTTCAAATGGAATGTACTGTCAAATGGTCTACTAACTTTCGATCATGACCATCAGTCACCAACAAGGACCAGATTTACAGCGTGCGTTATTGTTCACGTATTATGCACAATGTCAGCTTCAACCGCAAAAAAAAAAAAAACAGCGGTGTCACCTTGGCACACAATTCATAGACTTTCCTGTATATTTCTATAATGCCTATCACTGACAGCAACGATCGACGGGTGGTAATTCTTTGTCACTTCCTAAGGGCCCGTGAGTGGGTGACTTTTGCTTGTTAGAGGTTCAGCTATTTATAATTGAATTTATTGAAGGCGATAATGGCGTGGCCCTAACGTTGTTTAATTAATGGCGAAAAGACCTACAACTGTGCAGAATGGAGAACCCCGAAATGGATTTTTTGAGAACGTCGATACTCGACCTGCATAGCATCGGCACTGAGCAAGCAATGCTCCACAGTTTACATAATGTTGTGGTGGATGTAACTCAGGAGAAGCCTCTAATCGAGTCTCGAGAAATCGGATTCTGAGTAGACAGGATTCGATACTCAGTGCAGTTTCCAATTCTCAGTCTGTTCTTGAATACTTAGCATGATTGAATCCATTGTGCGAGTTAGTCTGGAGTTTAACCTTAGCAGTGAGTACACTACCTTTGCGGTCCGCGAATATACCGTAGTCAAAGCAAAACAGGCTGCGGGTGCCGATTATGATCACCTGTGGGTGTTTGCATTAATTACAACTTCGCACCGATAATGGAAATTGTAGACGTCAACGCGCGAGCGACGTTCATACTTCACTGTAATCGATTGCCCCTTGGCACAACGTGGATAACCTGTGACCCGTTCAAGTGTCTAATGACATTAAACTCAATGCAAGTACACGTTCTGGAGAAAAAGAGATTCTCACAGTGATAAGAAAGGTTCAATGTTGAATCGTCAAGGGCTGCGTCGGTTATACTGGGCTCGAATGAATGACTTGTAAGTGATAACTGTGTGATTTATTTGTAAGGAAAAAGTCAGGTGACATGTGCAACAATGAACGCTCTTCACCGAGCAATCCTTGCTGGCCGACCAGCAGAGGTTTTATACCTCCTAGAGAAGAGGAACTACGACCCGAACGCCCGAGACAGAAACCTCCGGACCCCACTGATAATTTGTTCGTTGGCCGAGAGAGAAGACTCGGCCGAAGTGAGTGCCGCGCTGCTGCTGAGGAAGGGAGCCCAGATTAGTCTGTCAGATAGGCAAGGCAAGGACGCCCTCTGTTGGGCATGCCAGAACAGCAGAGCGAAGCTTGTGCAGATGTTTCTGGAGGACTACCCGAGCCAGTTTAAGTTTCATCTGCGGAAGAAGGACCGAGACGGCAACACGGCCTTGCACCTCGCTGCCCGGACCGGCAACCCCGATACTGTTAGTCTCCTGCTCCAGACGTACACGGACAATAACCTCTTGGCAGAGGTAAGTGAGCGCAACGCCCGAGGTGAGACGCCTCTCCACCTGGCCGCTAAGCAGGGTAACTCTGCTGCCGTTCTCGCCCTACTGCCATTGTCCTCTGACGCTCTATTCAGGCGGCGAGGTGGCGTCGACTTCCGCAGCGCGCCAAAGTGGGCGAGCGCTGCAGTGAAGATCGGTAGAAGCACGGGAGAGCGGGGCGTGAAACACGGCAGGCCTTTCTCGGAGCAACCCGTCGCTGGCAGTGCCAAAGCCAACGCCCCGGCCGCTAGAAAAAGACGGTCCCAGACCGCCACTGTCTCGTCAAATCTCACAGAAAACCCGCATAACGGTCACACTGGCACGCTGAATGGATCAAAACCGGGCGGGAATGTGTCAATCCTTCCCCGACGGACCAATATTTCAGACATTTTTAAGATATCCGAGGTTCAGCTGTCTGCCAACTCGGCGTACCGCCGGCCAGCCAGAGCGCCGCCACTGCCACAGCCGCCCTCTGTTTGTGAGGACGACAAAATTCATTGCCGGCGATCCTCTACCTTGAAATTGCCCGGTAAAGGCCGCCGGGGCTCCTTTCAGACAAGTCGCAGTCGATCTTCGACGAGACGAACGTCTATGACAGACGGGGACGCTGTGGATAAACAGAACACTAAACCATGCAAGGCAGTGCCTACTGTGGTCGTAGACGAGCCAGGGAAAGAGGCCAAAGTGGTGCCGACTGTGATAATAGGCGAAGCAGGGAACGGAGGCACGGTTCCCAGACCGCTTCTCTCGATGGAGTATAAGACAAGGTAAAGCATGGGAAGCCATTAAAACAACTGCCGTCTTTCAATCAAAGTACGCTCGACTTCACGGAGTCGCCAACGCTGCCGGGGGGGACTCACCTTACGCCGTTCGACCAGCCAGGGATGCCGTTCGATCGACTCAGCAGCGCCGCTTCCCTCCAAAGCTTGGTGAGTGATCTGCCCGGCCTGTCGGGGCACGGTCTCGCCTTCGACAGGTCGGAGACAGACCCCGTGATAAAACTCGACGGGGGCCGGCCTTGGCAGATACGCCGCACCAAGAGCGAACCATCGCTCAACACCCTCGACCAAACCACTGAGTCTCTGGTCCCCAGGAAGGGTAACAGGTCGCGATTCGATAACAAACGCTTCAGGGGTCCCGCCATCCGAAAGCGAGGGCACGTCAAGACGCGAGTAGCCGATAAAGACAAACAAAGTTTGGCAGCTAGCGTGAAGAGACACACGAAGCCGACACCTCTCAAAATGGAGACTCTGAACCACGTGCACAACATGGCTCATTTCTCCCCGTATATACCAGCAGCGTCGCCGGCGCCTTCAACCCGGTCTACTCGACGGTTCTTTCGGTCGGGCAGAGAGGCCGAGTCTGTGATGCAGCGGCGACGCACGGACTTAGACAAGAGGATTAAGTCCCTCCAGAGGGAAATTGACCTTCTTGAGAGCAGGAGGAGAGGACGGAAGTACAGGTCGCTCATTCCTGACTGGATGACCGTAGACGAGGAAACCTCACTGGACGAGCTTGTCGCTGCCGTCTTCCACGACAAGTCCAGCACACAGGACGCAGAACCAGGGACGTCAACTCGGAATCAGGACAATCCCCGAACGACAAGCAGTGGCGGGACAAAAGTGGAGACGTTTGCGGGGACCAACAAACCGTCACGTGGTTACAAGTCTACTTCAACCGGGTCATCACGCGAGTTCGACTCCGAAAGAGGGCGCCGCCGGAGCTGCACCTCCAACCTCGACATGGACGCGGACATCCAGGATGTGGAACGCTGTCAGCGGTTACCGACCTGGAAGAGTCCACGGCTCCTCCAGAACGGCCTGCGGGGACGGACCCTGCGCATCCCCTGGCCGGCGCAGGCGCCTTTTTATAAGCAATCTCGGTCCGTCTTTGCCAGCCCCCCGGGAGGACAAGTGCTATTGAGGCAGGAAAACGAAGGGCACGATCTCTTGCGCAACGGTCAAAATCGGAGCAGTCAATCCAGGGCGCCTTTGGCGTCTCACGAGGGGTCCAACCTCCGCTTGAAACCGATCAAGCCAGGACAAGCCTCAATCGACAGCAATACAAAGAATTAGAACCATCAATACAGACTATATTCTATTAGAATTTTCTTTCCAAACTTGCCTAGTCAAACTAAAATAGCGAAATAATATACTATCTGTAAGTCGCCATAAAATGTATAAGTCAGCGCATGTACTTGTATTGGAAGTCAATGTTTAAATATTCAGTTTGAACGTATTTTGCTCTCTCCGGCCGCGGTTTGACAAAGACGAGCCACAAACCCGACGTGCAGTGCTTTTGTAATATTTGGCCCGCAATGAGTGCTTTTGCCAAACTTGGAAAGACGCAAAGGCATTGCTTAGAATTCTGAATATTCAAATCTATTGATACCTTTAATTACGTCAAATTATACTAATTTCGGTACCTACTGGCTGTAGATCTAAACGGAACAGGTTTGACGCCATCTTTACCGTTTCCAGCCATGCCTTGGGATCGCCTTGTTCTCGTTTGCATAAGTCACTTTTCCTGTTTTAATGCGGTAATTTCATTATTCATTGAGTTATGCAAGGGTAAAGCTTTATTTTGTGTTAGCAAATTGCTAAATGTAACAATCTGTCAATTAATATTTCAAGGAAATTACTGCAGTCGAAACAAAACTAGACCACGTTCCCTATTCTCCTGGAGCTAGGGTGACACAGAACAAACGCAAGGACACGTGAATCAGAAATGCGGTCGTTTTAACTTTGTTTTTATAATATAGCAGATTATTTTATACCTTGTCGAATTTGAATTAATCGATACCTTACATGTCCAATGCAATCGTAGGTAAAAATCACTACTTGCTGGACAAACTGTGTTTTCTCTACGGACAAACCAAACATCATGAGCACAAGGATAGCTAAGCTCGACAGAAGTAGCAACACATCACATGCACCACCAGACTACATGTATAGTTGAAACTTCTCACAATCTTTTTTATTAAAAAATCATCTCTTTTCCAAACATGGAGGGTTAGGTGGGGGGGTCCTTTATCACCAAAAGTTAACGTGTTGTACCCTTCTAATGTCTCCAGATATAAGTTTAATGGTCATTTATTTAGGTGTATGTAATTTTTTTTCTAAACACAAAGGTTCGGATCTTTTTGTTGCCAAGTCCTTAATCACAAACAGTTAGTGCTTTGTATCCCCGTAATGCCTCTTGATATAGGTTTAATGGTTACATTTATTTCTGTGCATATTTAATTAAGTCTTAAAAGTGTGTTTAAAAATAATGTACAAATTAAAACCGCATTCACTTTTGTGCATAGATGTGCTAACAACTGTCACATAACTGTGTGTTCAAGAGAGGAATCACGTTCCTTCCATGCTGGAATGTTAGGCAAATTACGTCTCAAGACTTTAAATAAACAAGTGGTTACAAAACTTATTCATGCCAAAAAGAAATGGAATTCCTAAGGAATTTCATTTGTTCCCGAATATGAAGAATGCTTTGGTAATCCCGTGTACAAAATTTTAAAAAGTCAGGCAGTTTTGTCGTCTAGGATTTTGAAATTTCAGTTGAATTTCTTCCTCGGTTATAACTGAATGATACAGAAGGATTGCACTGGAGTGGTTAAGCAGTCAAAGTGCACGGCCACAGAAAACACAGAAGCGCCTCGGCGGGGGCGCCATCGAAGATTTAATGTCAGAGCTGTACATCGGGAGAATAGCGCCAACTTCACATATTGGAACCAAAATGGCTGTTCAGTGTGTGCGCAGTATAGCACACAGCTTTCGTGTGCTGTCCATCTGCACTGACACATAATCCACCATTTTGACTCCAATAATTGAGACACCCATGTCGCAACTCTCTCTTAATAAACCGCTCTGCCTAACATCAGAGCAATGGCGGGCGTAGCTAGGATTTTACTAGTGGGGGGGTGCAAGGGGGCACCAGCATCTCAGTTACGGGGGCACCAGCTATCAGTGGTGTATTTTGGGGGCAAGGTTTTGTTATCCTTGTTCAATATTCATTTGTCTGGTTTTTTTTTTGTTTTTGTTTTAAGTGGGGGGAACCTGGGGGCACCAGGACGGACTGATACATATGACCTTCGAACCCTTCCAATCAAGCCCCAGCTCTCCACTCAACAAAAAGGCTGGCAATCGATGAGTTCCAAGTGGCCCTGTTGGATTTTGATTCTTCCTCAACTTCAATACAATTGCACTATACTGCATTTCATGTGTCGGCCATCTTGAATTGAAAGTGAGGTTAACTTTTCATTTAGGGTACCTGAGAGTAAAAAATAACAGTAACAAAATAAACTCCATAACAAAGTCATGCCAGTTTACCTTCAGGACAATTTAAAATTTGTGGTAAGTTAATTATATATGAACATTTTACGCCACACAAAAAAGAAAAGAAACTGAAAGCGAGGCTCACAACCAAAACCACTCTGGCACCACCCCATAACAGATTACACTGAATATGATAGATTCAGGGAACAAGACCGAAAATAGCATCCCTGTGAATAACACCTAGACAGGTTCAGCATGGCAGCAATCTCTCCGGCGATGGCTTTTGTTGCAGAGGGATAGTACAGAAGGTCTACTCATGTGGATCCCTGCGGAACAAGAGTTCTTACCAGAAAAATGGCCGCCATGCAGAATCTCTGTTGGAATTTCCTGCTCAATGAAAAAAAAAAATGCCATCATTGTTGGAAGCGATAAGTGGAGAGGGTTTGCTCCCCACTTTACAATTCCAAGTTTCCCCCTTGCAAAGTTTTACAGGAAAGCAAACATTTCAGCTAATCACCCATTTTTGGAGCCACTGACTTTTTTAGTAGTAACTAAATACAGTGCACAACTTTTTTTTCCGCTACAGCTTAGGGATCACAGCCAGAGGTTGAAAACACATATAGTCAGTACTGCCACTTCTACGATTGTTTTACCATTTAGCAGCAATGGTGAAACCATTTAAATTCTTTTAGGTATTTCAGGACATTCACAAGTGCAACACGGGCAATTCACAATACAGTGTACCACCAACAGTTTGCGCAGACGGGCTGCCGCGATTAAGAGCACTCTGTACGTACTTTGGGGATGTTTGATTGAGTCGTTCCCCGCATCACACAAACACCTTCATTTTTACTAACATCAGTTCACGATGAGCAATTTCGAATTCAACCAAGCTAAACAAAAATTCGGGAAAAAAAATGTAAGTGTTTTGAGCACAGAGCAGTTAGCCCATTATGCCCTGGGAAAAAGCCTGTCCTGGCAACCTCCTGGTGGCGCTCTGCATCGCCTGGAGCATCTTGTTGCAGCTACTTGTAGAATTAATGCGTGTTTGTTGGCTCCGTGCCCAAGCATGTAGCCCCCCCCCCTCCTATTGTGGTTACACTGAAAGGCAACACTGGAGTACACATCACTGGTGCAATATCATCCCTGGGGCCAAGGCAAACACATGCCAGACACCTCGGGGATACCTCGGAAGTTGCAATGCACCCCGGTGAACAGGAATGCTCCTTTCGGGGAACACTGAGTACCATTTGGAAACTTGCTGTGTTCCCGTCATGTTCTCAAATGGAATGAGTGAAGTGTGCACAGACATCGACCACGGTTCCCCTTTGGGAACAGGCCTAGTTCCCAAACTACTCCATTCAGAAGAGCAGGTGTTCAAGAACGGAATCAACAATGTTCTCATCGAAACGTTGTAAGGTATTCCAACTTTGGAGACACTACATGAACCACTCATCCCCCATAACACTGCTATATACTTAACATGAGCAAATAAATGTCCAGCTTCTTATACATGCTCAGCACTGCCCTCGACGGATTGCTGCATGGCGAAACGCTCCTTCTCGTTCATATACAGAACCCACTTAACACATATAACTAGCATGTCACTATTCAATTCACTGTGGACATAACATCTTTCACAGCCTAATTATGCACCACTGACTTCTAGATACGCACGAAGTTATTTTCAATCGGTCAGAGTGCAACCTTTTGGTCCTAAACCGTCATGCTCAAGGTGGCTCCCCACTTGAGTCTTCGGGTTCTGTTTAATACTGGAATACATCTCCAGATGACGGATCACTTCAGGTGAAATCTCAAAGCATAGCCCAGCTCAGCCCAACAAAATGAGTCTTGAGTCCACAAAGCTAACAAGCCCATGAACAAATCCTTTTCACTGGAAATCAATGAGAATTTGTTTGACACTTTTACCCGTGTAACAGCAGTACTCATTAGGATGTCAACCCGAGTGATTTAACAAATCACCCGACACTGCATATACTCTCTTAGGCAGAATTTACTTGTCAAAGAAATGAACAAATTGCTCAAGTGTCATGTGGTGGGATCAGGTCTGCTTTTGCCCTCAAGTAGCACTGACCGATTGATACAAGATCTTGTGTTTCCACGCACATTGTACGATGGACCAACATCGTTTTTTCAGGTGGAGCATGATGTGCCCTGTTTAAAAATTATCTTGGATTTCATAATAACACAAGTTATACAACTTGAATACATTCCAATACATTTATGTAAAAAACAAGAAGAAATGTTGTCCCCAAGTAGTCAAGAGAGGGCGATATTACTGGAAGGCAGTGTTTAAAACAAGCGATTTTGATGAGTAGGGATGATAAACCGCAACAATATGGCGGTGGGAAAAAAACAAACAAACAAAAGCCCAAGACCAAATGCTTGACAAGCCTTGGCCACCCACAGCACCGTCAAATTTCAAAAAGGATTTATGGGGCCTGTATGTTTATCACTTGGATGGGTTTTCCCCCTACATCGATGACGGCCTGCGACAGAGATCACCAGATGGTTTCAGATTGAGTCTCAACAAAACGAGCGCTCTCTAAATGGTAATCTTCTGAGCTAAGTCGACCATGTTTCATAACATTAGCACACTCATTTTTATGAGGCGCTATTCCCAAGCCCTCACGTACAGACGGATCTAGCAATGTATCACTGGACATTTCAGATGGCCCCTTTAATGGCGTAAAAGCACTGTGTTGGGTTTTGTACACGGCAACTGTCACGGCTCTGTACGATAGTTATCACAGTGCATTTCGCCATGGGGGATGCAAACAGGCATGCAACTTGGACTTTGATTTTAAAAAATGAGGCAATTCCAATCTTGACAAGACTTTGTAGGGTGGTTTTCAGATATCAATGGCGCGAGTGTAAAGGGAAAAACAAAAATTGGATCAATCTGAGCAAAAGTTGCATGCCTGAGCAAATGATCATCCATAGAGTCACCATGGTCACTGACTTTGTCTAGATGCAATTACCGGTACGATGTGGGTGGGGCAATATTGCCACGATATGGCCCCAACAGTGCCTGGTTTCCAACAATAGCTTCCCCTCTTGACCTGCCGGTCTAGTGACACATTTCAATAACTGACAACGTTGGCAAACATCTCCCTTTCTGGTGCCTCGCCTCTAATTGGAGACTGCCGTGCTGGAATTGGCCTCTTCCATTCTCTTTTGAGGAGTAACAGCGGACTTCTAGACATTAAGGCACGAAGAACAAAAAGAGAGAGTTATACTAAGACAATAAATACGGGCTTGGCTGCTTAACAGATAAGGAGAATAAACTCTGAAAACGGTAATGTGTCTCGTGATTAGTCGTAAACAATCTCCTTACATGGAGATTGACAAATGCATCACGCTCACTGCTCGACGTGGCCGAGAAGGTAATGATCCAGTGTACTGTGACTTTGGAACTCTGGAAATGCGGACTCATTGGTAATATGGGGCGTATGCGAGTGAAGCTGGAGAGCGTTCAAACCAACGCAAGGAAGACGGGACCAAATTTCATCGGAGTCTAAATTCCATGTGATACAAGAAAAGCATTTTTTGACAGCCAGCCGGTGCTTTATGGCCATGTAAGACCTGCCACTTGATGGGCTCTCGACCAACAGGAATGGCTGAACTGTCTAATGTATAAAAAAGTCAGCATCTACTAGTGCAATGGGTACGAAAAATTTCATGAGTTGACAGCTGGAATGGATCATTTCATTTTTTGCCAAATGAGACTGTTCTTTCCTGTGTACTTGAATGGGGAGACTCGGCACGGTGTACAGTGCTGCTATGCATTGAGATGAGTAATTTGAAAACACACGATCAATTGCCTAACGACATGACAGAGATTTTTCAATTGTTGGAAACATCTCTTTTTCCCCTCCTGATAGAAACAAAGGTAGGCGCACGGCAACTTCTCCTGAATCTTGTCTGCACTCACGACATTTCCGAATATGGACCTCAAGGCTCGAGAATCTATATGCTCACCAAGGTATCTATGGGGGAAGACACAGGGGCGGAGTCGACCCGTGGTGAGGGGAGGTCCGACAGTGGCTTGCGGGAGTACTTCCTCCTGTGCATCTCGTCGACGTACGTCAGGTACCAGGTGCCGGGGAAGAGGTCGTCAACGGAGCCCACCGGTGCATACTTGGCTGGCGGTCACAAGAAACAAGAGGCAAATAAAATTGAAGCAAGTGTCCACTTGAACGGGGTATACCCAAACCCTTTGTAAATTCTCCAAATCTATTAGATTATCCGCCGTGAGCAGAGCACTCCCCCTTCATCGGCCGAAGAGGACAGCATCCAAACTGGTTGTCTAGGGCTAAGTCTGGCTAGGTCTAGGTATTTGCTCCATGAGAAATACGCAGAGAAGCGATGACAGCAGACATAGCCATAGATAGGAAAGCTTGTATTGGACAAGGCTACGTTATATCCCCCTCCTCAAGCCTGGTTCTCGCCTTATTACTGTCCATCAACAGAGGCATGTGATAAGGTTCATAATAAACTGGTGTTATGCAGTTGTTAAATTGGTGTTCATGTCAGCAGTGAAAATACTTGCAAATAACAATATCTAAGCATTTATAACACACAGTATCTCACAGTGTTTGTAATGCAAAGGCACTGATATCTATTATTGTTATCTCTGCTAATTGGGCTCACATCCAAACATTCCTAAGACCATCTCAGCTCCCTGGGGGCTATGGGTAATGCCAGAAAACAGGGGTCCAAAAGTGTGACATTTTGGTGTCCCTGTAACATCTGACCTTTGTTATTTGACATGGAAATATCACCAGAATTGATTTCAAACTATTAGTATTCGTTTGGCAGGTAATTTGCATTAATTCACCACTCTTGGAAATCAGAAAATGTGTTCTGAACTTACAACATCATATATAAGACGTGACAGGGACACGAAAAATAAATGGTCCCCTAATTTCTGGAATTACCCTGATACTAACCAGATGCTACCATATCAGGTGCAAATGGCTGAACATAATAACCATACCTGCCCTCACGGGTACCCATTTACTCCTGGGGGGGGGAGGCACATAGGGGCAAAGTGACTTGCCCAAGATCACAACATGGTGCCACCAGCTGGATTCGAACCCTCGACCCTATGATCAGAAGCTACAAACCCTAACTACTCGGCCACACGCCCCCTCACTTGTAAACACTTTTGAAGTACTTTGAGGTACTTGACTCCAACACTATCATACACTCACCCAGATGGTGGGTGTTCTCCCGCAGCTGCATGGCATCGGCAAACACAGCCGGCTCCACGCACTTCCGAGAGTCCAACCGGAAGCGCAGGTCATCCAGACTGGCCCGCAGCTTCCACAGGGGCGAGCCGGGGGCTGTGTCCCCGCAGATGCGGACCGAGAAGAGGGAGGCGGCCAGGCCCGAGCCGTAAGAGAACAGGCCTATCCTCTTGCCCGGCAGCTCCTCCAGGGGAAGACTGGACACAGTGAAACAAAAGCATTCCATCAGCATTTTTGTCTTAGGAGGGGTGGAACTTCAGGACCTGGGGACAATTTCGTAGAGCTGCTTAAGCACAAAATTTGCTTAAGCGTGCTAAAACCTTGCTTGACAAATCAGGTAACCAGCCAAAACTCGATGTGATGTATATTGGCTTGGAATGGTATTCACCTGTCTTTTGGTTAACATGACAATTACATAGATTTTGTGCTTAAGTAGCTCTATGAAATTGGCCTGTTTGTTTCACACTGATCCAGATTACGATCAGTGTTCCGACAGTACACTGATGCAAAAACCTACCAAACCAATAGAGCAAACTTGCTTTGGGATCACTGATCACGATCTGGATCTGCGTCAAACAAATTGGCTCTTAGATTAAAGAATCCGGTGATTAGATCACGATTCCACTTGTGACCCGAAGTAACAGAATGAGTCACACATTGCTGCAGCAGCGTGAATCTTGCACAGTGTAAATCCATGGGAACCCTCAACATTTTTTCAGACATGTCCATGCGCATCTGGATGCCAAACTGGTTGACATATCAGACCAAAGAGCTCGGTTGGCTCTTTCTCGTGAAAACTAAAAACCAAAATAAACTGCGCATATGGCTCACGTTACAGCATCCGGTCACATTTCTTTGGCGGTAAACAGAATCATACACAGGTCGTGCACTTATGTGTAAAGCTCTGGAAAGTCAGGTTGGGGAAGTAAATCTTTCCTTGCCTTTCACATCGGTGGTACGGGTTTGATTTCCAACTTGGTCCATGTGTGGATTGGGTTTTCAGTCCCGACCTGACTCTGAGGGTTTTACTAAGAACTTTCTTCTGGGGGGTTTCCTCCCATCTGCAAAACTGTAATTGCTAGGGGAAATGTGGGTCGTTTGACGGCTGCATGAGGCACCCTTGTACAGTGCATTTGAACTTAAGTGTTTGAAATTTGTGCCTGAATGAGTGTGGGTTGAAGAAACAGGCTGCTTCACTACTCGGAAAAAAGGCCCCTTAATCTTAATGCAATGTCTGAAAAGATGAAGTCCCCAATTCAGTTTGGCAATTTGGACCTCACCTTGCTAAGCACGAGATCAGTCCACCGTACAGTGAGGGGGTGTACATGTTACCCACTTGGTTCGCGATGAGGAGGGAGGGCTTGGTCTTGGCGGCAAAGATGTCTTTGCTGCAAGTCATGAAGGCCTTCTCAACGTCCCGATCCATGAATGTCTCTTCCAACTTCAGGTCCCTGGGGGAAAGAACGGATAGGACAAAAAGAGCCACTGAGTGAAAACAACGTGTCTAATTTTTCACGTAATTGGTGTCAAAATGATCAGCGAAACATCGCTGGAAAAAATCTTGGAGGCTTGACAATAAACAAACTGAAAAGATATATCAGACAAAAATGTCAGAAAGTGGGGCGAGTTTCTCCTCCAGCTTTCTTCTGGGTTACAATCTCAAGCTTTTCGTGTTCATAAGTGTCCACGGAGGATTCAACTCCACAATTTCCTCACTTGTAACCGTTGAGGCCGGCGTAGCGCCCCCCCTCTTCTGTACTGGGGTTGGGATCCCGCAGGAAGTCATTCAGCACCAGGCGGGCCAGGGACTTCTGGACGAGCTTACAGAACGGACTGTGGAAGCACACGGCATCAAACTTGTCTAAACTGCAGCGGCTGGCGTCGCCCTCTGGCGGCAGAAAAAAAAAAGTCACAATTTATGCCCGAGGTTTATTGCCATGGTCTGTGCCAATCTAAACAGTCCACTAGCTCTGAATTGAAGTTGCATGTAGGTACATGTATTGTGTACAGTGGAACCCAGCTATACTGAACACCACTGTACTGAACATTGTCCTTGGCTCCCAATAATTTGAGCACAGAACCTACCAAACACTATTCAGTTGCCGTCTGCAATTCCTGAATGTCACATGATGAAACAGTCGGTGTTTTTTATGTTATTAGTTCCCCAAGGGTTAGAAGGGAAAGCCACTAGTTGTCAATGGTAATGAATGGACACTGGTTTTGCCACTCCGCATGATCGGGTGTGGAAGAAAACCGCACGTACGCGCACGGTGGCATTGCACTAACAACAGTCTGAAGAGGGTGCCGCTGATACACAAATCAACCGAGATTCGCCACAGCATGCATCAGAGATCGATCCTGAGTGGTAGCTTCAAGATTTTTAGGATAAACTTGATATCAATTTTGGGACTCAAGATGAAATAAAAAACCAAAATAATTGACAGATACATTTATAGAAACCTTAAACTTGAATGCAACGGCAAAACATCACGAAAACAGCGAACCATAGTATCACAAGAGGAAGCATTTCAGTTAGACAAGAGAGGGCGCTATTCAACATGGCAACAAAACATTCGGCAGTGAAATTTGCTATACTAAAAGATGGATGTACTGAACATTCAGCGTGGACCCCATCGTGTTTGTTATAGCGGTGTTCCACTGTACATGTACTTTGCAATACCAGTTGAAAAGAGGCAATAAACCTCATGCTCTGCCAAACCTCTTCCCTGTCTCGTTGGAAACGCTTTGACTGTGGTTTTGCTATTGATGACCCTGCCCAAGTTAAAAATTTGTGAAGTTCACATAAACCAAGGGGGGTCATTCTTTCCTCAGTGTCCACTGTGACTAGAATTACCCCTTCATCACTGGCAAAGAAGAAACAAGCTTATGGGGACTTTTTCAGCTGTGCTTGAGCACGTGTCCAGCCCGCTCAGATGCTGTACACTCCAAAACAAAAAAATTGGCAGCACGTGCTATAAATTGTAGTCAATGGGCACAAGCACAGGGTTCCCAGCAAAGGGATGCCGTTGCTAGGTTAAATGGGCTCGTTTTTTGTTCCTGCATGGGGTGGACTGCCCTCCACCGGGGCATCAAGGTAAAAGCTACAAATGCTGAAGTCTGTAACCTAGGCCTCTCGTGAGGGCTAAAGCACCAATGAAACATTGTGCACCAGTCCTTGTGATTTTGAAATTGCAGGTGCGCCAAAAAAAACCAACACTCCTGGACATTTCCGGGTGTGTAGTTTTTCTAGGAGTGTGATTTTGAACAATGAATCAAAACCTTGGGTCAATCAAGACAGAGTAAAATACAAAGATAAAATTAGGTCAAAATTACATACAAACAATCAACAAAACCAACAAAAAAAGGTGCAGCAGTTTCAGATTACACCCGCTTACTTCAAGCAAACTCCAAGAGATACTGGTATGTCCAATGCATGTCAAAAGCATCACAGTTTTACAACGTTCATAAAATCATTCCCTTTCCATAAAAGCAGCCTCAACAGACCATGCAGAGCTCCTCTGACTGAGCCACAAGATCACTCCAATATTCTCCATTAAATTTTTCCAATAAATCTCCCCATTTTCCCGAGGTTCCTTTTCACCAAATTTCTTTTCTGTGAGTTATTTCCGTTCATAACCCTGACAAATTTTATTGGGAAACATCAGGACGTTGACGTGTCTGCACACAAAGATCTGCTGCGATCCACACTGGCATGATCTCTCCATGGCTTTCACGTACTTCATGCACGTGGCGCTGCACAGACGTGCACATGGCACATACATGTAGTATGCACAACTAGTTTTCATCTGAATGTGCACAAAAGCTGTAGGGTTAATTCAAATACAGGGGATACACTGAAATTCCTATTAATAGAGTTGGCGGTAACGCTGTACGTGTACATATACTATGATGCTATTCAGGGTGATACCTTTAAGAAAAGCTGGTTTCGCATGTACATTAACAAGGATATCACATGATATTCCTTGTACATGTACATGTATGTAGATGTACATACGTGAGTGTACATGTAGGCCTACATGTATTTAGGGGACGGGTTTACAATTAACATCCCCAACAAATGTAAATGTACATGTCAAATATAGCTCAAGAAACAAATGGGGTGAGGGAAGATTATCTTCCAGGAATGTTTTTATCCTTGTGCAGTGTGCACTAAACATTTCCCCAAACTTATTCCTCCTACCACAGAAGAATGAGTTTTGTAAGTTTCATTTCCCTTTTGTGGTTTATTTTGATGTCACATTCACCTTGGGAGGTTAAACAATTTTTGTTCTTCTGGAGAACTTTGGCGTTGACAGCATGCAATATGTTTTGCTTATAAAGGTGAATTTTAAAAGGCATTAAGGAGACAGGGGAAGGCAAAGCAACCAGTTTTACCCTTCAACCAACCATCTGGTTCATCATCAAATCAGGAACCCACCCAAGGTCAACCGTGTCCTGCTTTGGTTTAGGGGCAGGATTTTTTCAATCGTAGGCATCACAAAACCTGAGAATCTTTCAATATTGATTCAGTATATTAACCCAACACAAGAATTCTTTTATCCTCTCCGATTACTGAATTCTCCATTTTGGAAACAGGCCAGCAAAGACTACACTGCACCCCCCCCCAGTCATTTGATTCCATTTATCTGGACTTGACCTTTGTCTACACACACTTGACTCGATATGGGTTTCTATTTGGGGCAGCAGAAACTATTCTGGGCAACTGGAGTTCTTTTTAAGGCGAGTGCAATTCTGTTCTGAACCGTAATGGTGTCCCGTATTGTCCCAAGACAGATAGCAATTGATCAGATAAAAATGATTAAAGTGGTGTCCAAAAATGGTGCCTATGTAAAAAAAAGACATGTACCACTTTTCTACAATACCATTCTAGAAACATGTACATATATGCAGTTGGTGATGGCAACATTCATTGGTTAAAAATGTAACTGGATTGTATAACAATCTGGTTCTATGAAAGCACATCCATGTCTAACAGCTGCAGTTCAGGCAAAATCACAGGAACTTTCAAAAAGGTTTTACCATGAGCTTCACAGATACTGCCGTAAATCTGCTTTAATCATGCTTTTTTTACATTGCTCTGAACATAATTCCTATCAAGCATAACCCCTTACCCAAGAAACTGTTACATAAAGAAACAAACAATCTCCCAGGATAAATTTAGCACCCTGTATAAAAAATTTAATTTGAATAATTTGCCAACAAGGAAAAACTAGCCGTAATATACCTGCATGCACCTTGCCACATTAACAGGAATTGAAGAATTACACTTCAGTCGACAAACTGACAATGTTAGCCCAAACTACCTCGTGTGATTTACCGGTACAAGCAACCGTCCACATCTTGCTTAAACATTTGAAATCATCCATGCTTTTTCTGACAATTGAGGAAGCTGACGATGTGATGCCACTCAGGGAAGATGTTTGTCCATTTATTGATTTTCCTTTTAACTGTGAACTCAAAATTTGCTCTCTCAAACCATGTCTCAGAAAGGGTTGATCGCTGGCCTATTGGCACGTTCTTGAACAGCAAATCACTAAAAAAAATAATTAAGAGCAGCAAAGTCTCCAAAATCCCAACAATCTTTTGTGTGATTAAAATCAATGCGACATTGAAGCTTTCTCCTGGAAGTGGCATCACAGTTTTGCTCATGAATATGGAAATCAGCATAAAAACCATAAAAACACCTTTAAAGCAAAGCAAAAATTGGATATCAGGCTAATTGAAACACACAGGTGCACTGTCAGGGGGTGCAGTACAAAATATGGTTGCATGAAACAAACTTGTCTTGTTTTATCTTTGATCTGAACTCTGCAAATAGAACGGTACAGTCCTTCCATTGTTCATGAGAGAGCTAAGGAGTCTAATTCTATGGCCATATTTGTGGAAGTTTTAAATATAACTGACCCGGTAAAGGATGGGGCAATGGGCCGCAAGCACTGTCTACTTGAAACAAAGGTGGGTGTTATTTTTAGAACTTCCATGTTTGTCCATTATGGGCCTTATCTGCATGCATGCCAGCAAAAAGATTTTCTATTCTGCTGGTACCGGAATTTGTAGCTCAGTAAAATAATCATGCCATCCCACATCCTAGAGGGATTCAATGCTGATTTGAGAATATAAGGTTGTTGAGAATTTCATTAAAAATCAAGTGACACAGTAGTGTTTAGTGTTCAGGTAAGAATGTTAAATTAAATAGGCGATAACTTGTGATTTACCCCAAGGATTTACACGGTTTAAGCCTGGAGTTGAACCTTTTTTCATTTTGAACTTATCCCTGATTTGCTACAAACAGGAAACTGATGCTTAGCCAAAATTGGCACTCAGGCAAACTGTCACTGACTTGTATTTTTGGTGACTGGTCCAAAGCTGTTTTTTTACTAAGACAGAAAAATGCATTAAATGATTAAGAGAAATTAAAACTTTCTGCTAAGCAGCTATACAAAATTTAGCCTTGGGCAATTCCAAAAAAAGGTTACTTGGCTCATTTGCTTGTAGCGAAGAAACCTGTTATTCTGCACCCCAAAATTGAAGAAATTGAATTGAACAAGAAGGGAAGTCTCAGGTGATAATAGTTACTGTACCTTTCTGCATAAGAGCTTCGGCCTTGGCACAGTATCCTTTGTAACACTTGTCTAGCGCCCCCAGGTAGCACTGGATAGAGAGTTTGCCGTCTACCCGGGGGTATTCGGACGCCATGTCGGGCTTATAGAAATCGTACACGTGCTCCATGTGGGTGTGTCTTAGTCCTGGATTGGAGGAAGGGGAAATTAAAGATTCAGCAAACTCACTTGAAACTAAAAGGAGAACAAGTTTGCAAATAGAGTGAGGAGTGTGAGGCCAGCTCATACCATGGTTTACATTTTTTTCAACGTGTGTATAAAGCCGAGTGACATGATCTTAAATATGCCAAGCACGATTTGAGCTACTTCAAAGGAATAATCAAGCTTTAGGATGTGCAGAAAAATGGATTCTCACAGACAGACCAAGTCTGGGGTCCAAACTTCAAACAACTGAACTTGTGTGGTGACAAACAGATCAAACTAATTGGCTTTTGGTTGACGAAATAAGACAGAAAGTTAGCTAAACTCTGATGCAAAATTAGGGTCCTGGCATCTAAAAACAGTCACCTTTAAAATTTGATGAAGGCTGTTTCTTGAGGTTTATGCCTACAATTTGGAATGCTTTTGTGGAAAACCAAGATGCTGCTACAACATAAAATGCAGACATTTTCACAGCTATGAAAACAGACTGTCTTTCTTTCACCTCATTTCAGAAACTTGAACAGATATGACCCACTTTTGAGTCCTCTTCGATCCAGTGCGCTAAAAATTCTCTGTAAGAAATCCTGGTGATAAATTGCATGAGAAAGCCAACCCCTCAGTGCATAGGACACAACCACAGTACAGGGAGCCAGTTGAATCGATTCATGTTAGCAGTGCGCCTACAGTTTTACATGTGCATCTTTTTTTGCCTAGGAGAACACCCCACAACCAGTTCCAGGGGCGGATCAAGGAATTTCCAAAAGGGGGTGCCTGATCCAGAAGCGAGGGGAGGGGGGCTTGAGCTAAAGCAATAATGGTGAAATGCCCGTGAGCACGTAGCACGATACCCTGACAGCATGGGGTCCAGGGCCCCCTTAAGGGATTAGTATTGGATTGGATTCTAGGCCCTTGGTGGTGTAAGTTCAGCCAGTAGGGCCCCTCTTTTCTCTTGTCCCTCCCTCTTTTCTTCTTTTTCATTGATTTTTGGGGTGAAAAAAGACAGGAGTGGATCCGCCCTTTAGTTCTTTGTCTGCCACACAGCAGAAGCTTTAGCTGGATTGAAAACAAGGAGTGAATGCTGTTTTTCAATATAAGTCAGTGTCTATTTGAATGTCAAAAAAAAAAAAAAAATGTTTGAATGCAAAAAGAGAAAAACAGGTTTGTAAAAAAGGAATGCCCTGTTGTCTCTTTCAAACTAAATGTATAGCTGAAGTGCTTATTCACATACATGAAAGGTTCTTGGGCAATGGAGTACAGGCAGAAATTTATAACCATTGGGGGAAAAGCTATCAAAGTGACTGGTCCCCTTGTCATATGCAATGCATGGTACCCAGGGTGTGTTGAACGGATAACACACACCAACTCCTACCCTCACATGTGCCTCATTCTGGGCCGGATTTACTTTTTCTTTGTTTCCTCTGTCGAGGACATTATGATTTACACGTACCTCGCTCAACAACCAGTGGAGCGTTGGGTCCCACCAGCATCGCGATGGCACCAGCACCTCCGGTCGGCCTGGCATTTCCGGTCGCGTAAACCGCAATGTCTCCGGCGACCACCAAAGCATAACGACCTAAATATCCAATCGAAAAAGGAACTGCCTGTTAGAGGCTACAATCCATGAAACAGTAACACCCAAAACGGACCCTCTGAACGCGCACAAAAAAAGGAAAATAGTCCATCCCACCGGTGCTAGGATGGCCAATATCATACGATTAATAGTTATGGGAAGATATAACGCAGCTAACTTGGTACATCCACGTTTGCACACCACTGGAAGACTCAAAATTTGGAGCCGCTTTTGTCTGGTCTTTTATATATAGGTGATTCCGTAAATATGGGACCCAATGCGTGACACTTTTGGTGTCCCCCCTTTACACATGAAACAAATTTTGAAGATCGGTTGACACTACAACAGAAAGACACTTGGAAAAGGGAAAGTGGTAAAAATTACAAACTTGTGTGATGCTTAATATACTGTTAAATGGACGAAATATTTTATTGAGTTGTTAGAGTATAAGATGCCAACAAACCGATTGGTTTCATGCGTGAGGAGGACACCAAAACTGTCACAAGTTGGGTCCCAAATTTACGGAATTACCCGTATCAGCATCTGTATTCAAAAACGATGTGACCTCAAAAACTCATGTGCCAAAAACCAAAGCAGAGTCCGTAAACAAGCATTTTATTTTTCTCGGCTTAAGCAACACAAACACAAGCACATTATGTACATGTACTACTGATAGAGAGTACCTCTGCTGTACCTCTGCACTGCATCTACGGTACACTATTCAGAATGTGCTCTGTCTTATTTGATTATTTCTACCAAAATGAACAGGAATTTCAAACAGTATGCGATCAGGACGTTGTCAAAGTTTCTCAATGGGGAAAACAAGGAGTTGGCATTCCAGTAATTCAATACAGCTCTGAGATCAATACGCACCATCCCAGGCACTGGATTCCACCCACGCTAACGCGTTGAACAGTGCCGCCGTGCCCCCATAGCAGGCGTTGGTGGTGTCGATCCCTTCCACGCTGGTGTTGCCCGAGTCCCGGAAGAGCTGCATCAATACCGTCTTGACGCTCTTGGACTTGTCAATGATGGTCTCCGTGCCGACCTCCATGCGGCCTACCTCTTCGTACGACACCTGCTCCATCAAGCCCCACAAAATCATGCTTAGGCTTTGCCAATCAACTAAGTATCCCCATTTAGATGACAGTGTGGATTAATAAAATGAGTGATTTTTGCACATTTTCATTTTTAATTGGGACAATGTTGAAATATAAAAATGTCAATAGGTCTCTTTCCTGCTTACTTCCTAGAACTATGGAAGCACTAAGGGCTACAGGTTGCTGTAAATTTGGAAAAAAATAATGGCAGCCGTCTTGAAAATAAAACTCAAAAATGAAAAGCCTGCCTCCACTTCCTTTTTTTCCCCTTGAATACCCAGGTGCTAACTACATGTATGTTTATTTTTTTTTACTTGGCCCAACAGCAGTCTGTCACGAGCTTCTCGCCTTTTTTTGGGGGGGGGGGACCAAAATAGCACCAGCTAGGGGGACACATTACAAGAACAACTGGTGATTTTGATCAGGGTTGATAAAAAATCATGATTTTTATAAAATATATTTAAAAATCAGATGTTGAAAAATTTCAATCAGACTTTTAAAAATTTTTTAATAGATTTTTTTTTTTTTAAATTGATCATTGTATATGTTGTCCAGAAGGCTCTTGGCTGTGAAGTTCAAGACGTGATACACATGTACATGTACCCTGTATGTTTCTAACCAAACACAAAGGTTTGCTAAATCCAGTTACCATGGTTACCTGCATGCTGAAATACATGCAAACTCTTGGTATGATTAAACTATTTACGCAAATTTCAATGATAACGCAAGATGATGAAAGATCAGCGTTTTTGCTTCTTCAATTGGGACAAAACTCCTGTACATGCTAACACATGACATGCCTCACGTAACATTTCGAGAGACTTTATTGAATATAAGTACATCTTTGGTGTTCCAATTTTTATATAAATTTTGCCAATACTGCTTTCTCTAAATGCATGTAAATGGAAGGGCTATTGAATTTCATACATACATGCAGTCACACAAAATGGAGAGTGGTGTACATGAATATCGGGTACATAATTATGTAGGCCCTACATGTACATTGGACATGCAAATGTCAATTAAGTGTAAAGAGAAACATTATACACAAAATGACCCAATTCTGGTGGTGTGGAAATATTTTTAAAGCATCATTTATTAAATTAAGCCATTTCTTATGTTCAAATACCCCAAAGACTTTAAGGTTTCTATAACGTGATTTTTTTAATGATTTTTAAAAATTGTTTTAAAGCGATTTAAATCATGATTTAAATCAATAAATTAAAATCGAATCATTTGATTTAAATCAAACCACCCTTGATTTTGATAGGGCTGACTTAATTTGAATAATTCACTATTCGAATATTCAACCTTCAATTCGATCCAATACAGTATCTGTTTGTACCGACCGGCAGATTGTTGATAAACAATACACATACAAAATCAGTTGCAATAACGCACAAAATCATACATTTTAATCACTGTAATAGCTTCTCTCCTCTGGGAGTATCTCCAGCCATGATTTAGCAAGATTTAGAGACGAACAATACTTCTTATCCTTTAAAAATTTGGAAGGAATAAAGTAATATTTGAATCGTTGTAAGATTTCGGTAGCTTTTCATTTGAATCTGCTTGAAACAGGCCTCCACAGTGCAATTTTTTGCATTTAAAACAAAAAACAAGTCTCCCTTTATTTATGAATTTTGCATTCGAATATTCAAATTTGGAAAATAATATTTGAATATTCGAAACGCGATCGAATATTCAGATATTCGGCACAGCTCTAGATTATGATGCAGATGATTTTTTCCGACAGAGGGGCCAGTTGCTCCCAAGGGGGGGGGCCTTGCCCCTTCAGCCCCCCCTTCCTCCCCTTTGTGAAGGGCCCGCCCGACAGGCGTGGCAGTAAGTGTGGACATACCTGGTTGCGTTCCATCAGGTTCTGGACCACCGTCAGACAGAGGGAGTTGATGTCCTCCCGGTCCGTGCAGAAGCCCATCTTGGCCTGGCCCAGCCCCACTGTGTACTTGCCGGCGGGGATGCCGTCGAATACCTCCAGCTGTGTCTGGTCCACGTACTGCGAGGGGAAGTAGATCTCGGCCGCGATGATGCCCACATTGTCCGGCCAGCGCCCGTCTGCATTCTTACTCATGTCGCTGGGGCTTGGCATTGCTTTTTCTCCCCACTCGAATGTGGAATGTGAAGTACGTTAAAAATCACTGAAAATGAAAAAACAAATCAATCAACAAATTACAACAATACAGAGATTGAAGAAAGTACAGTTTTGACAAGATGAAAAGATTTAAAGCCAAAAAAGAGAAAATGTTGACTTTGGACTTTCTTGTTAATTCATAAATCATACTGCAATTTGGTAAGCATAGCACATGTAATGATCTGATAATTATGTCCAATTAATTGTATATGCACGATACTAACCCATGTCAGAATAGTCACCACGTCCCTAAATTTTGTAACCAATTGTGAAGGCTAGGTTTTCACAGCAAATGGTGAAATTACGGGCCTTGCAATTATTTCTAAGGACCTTGAAGATCCACAGGAAGAATTTCTAAGATCTTACAATCTGTCACAGCTACACAGCGCAGTGCATATCGCACATCCTGACCGTATCAAGTCGCAGAGTAAGGACGGTCGCACAATCATGAAAATGAAAACAAGATGGCATCCCACCCCCATCCCCTGCCTCCGAAAATGGTTGAACCAAAATGCGGAGCAAGCTTGACCACTGGCCCGACACATGCACAATGTCATTAACACAAATGGGGCGATCATTGTCAGGCATGTCCAGTCATGCCAGTGGAAATGAGAGATAGTCAAGTAAAAATGTCAGATTTTTCCAAAAATACCTGGTCTCAGGGTCTAAAACCTCTGTTCCACTGTTTTCAAGAGCTATAGGTAGGGCCTACCTAGTTAATACATGTGCATGTACATGTACCTCACTGTTTCAGTCACAGGAAAATTTGATTGGAAAAGCAGAGTTTGCATATTCCTACTGCCAAAAAACTTGATCCAAAAAAACCACTTGAAGCATCACGACCTCAACCATGTCAACTGCCATGGAAAAAAAACAACTCATCCAACTTGGGAGTCGCACAGAGTAGTGACTAGGAGTTCTTGAGTACGTCTGACTCACCGTTTAGGTCTACAACCCGCGTGCACACTCAGACTCAGTCACTGTACTGAAGCACGATCTTCCTATTGCTACATATAAGATTCCTATGCCGCGCCCACCACTGCAGCACTGCAGCCTCACTCAGTCGGTCCGTCTCGAAACCCTCAAAACAAATGACAGCATAATCACCACCCAGCTTTCTGAAAGAAATCTCCCAGTTTACTCAGCCGGTGCAAAGTCGACGGTTCATGGTTCAGTGATGATGCGGGTCCAGTCGTCGGCCCGGCTCTCTCTCCACTTAGACAAGTCGATATATGGTCCGATCGCGTGATCACTGCATGCAACATCTCCAACACAAGACACTCGTCTTTCCTAGATCCTCTTTAAAGCTGCTTGAAACCCCGTCTCTTCTGCGCAAACGGAGTCTTAAGAGTCACAACAGTGGGAGCACCTGTCTATTATTCACGTGGCGCCCTCTGTTGAGGAGCTGCCGGACCTTTTCCAATGAATAATGAATGAAGCCTGAAAGTAAAACGTCACGCAGCTACATGCGCGGTCCGCCTATGGGGATTTTACACAGGGCTATCACGCCCGATGATTTTTCGGAAGAATGATTCCTACCTGAAACTACCCCGAGAAACACTCATTTTGGAATTTTACCTTGGTATTCCTCTGGTAATACCTGGAGATGGACAAGGACGAATTTCATGAATGACCTTTCACTTCCGGCACTGCCGTTCGATCCACGTTTGTTTTCACTTAAGTTCATATTCAGTATGCTTGCGTGAAAACGAATTGTACAACGTTCAAAGATTTACCTACCTACACTCGAGGGTTTATGTATTCAGCCGAGTTGAGCTAACGCAGTTCTTGTCAGTAAAAGCCAGATTAAACTGTCGTAAGCACAGAGTATTCCTTCAAGTTTATATTTCTTTATAAATTGTAAAGTCCTTAATGATATTTTGATCCGCTTTCATGTTTAACCTAACCTTAAGCTTGGTGACAAGAACTGAGTCGGTCAACTCAAGTGAATCTGGAACCCATCGACTGCAGGTAGGTAAATCTTTGCAACGCTGTACAATCCTGTTTTTACAAAAGCCCGTTGGTGCCGCTATCTTATTTTTCACAGCAGCTATTCGTATTTTCAAAAGCATCTTTTCTTTTCGTGAGCAGTTATTTTCATTTTTGTAAGTAGCTTTTTATATTTTCAAGAACTTTACGAAACAAGGTTTTGGCCGCGGGCCGTGGCTTATTTTCTGTGCAATGACAACTTGGACGTCTGGCCTGCATCTGAATGGCTCAAGCTCTATCTGCTTCTGAAAGTTTAAACACCTGTTGTGAAAAATAAAATAGCAGTGGCACTGGTGGGATTTCGTATGTTTTCACGTATGTAAGCACGTAGAATGAAAACTAACGTGCCCGAACAAGGAGATATTCGGGAACGATAGTTGCAGGAAGTGAAATGTCATCAATAAAATTCGTTTTTGACCCATTTCCAGCCTGAGGTGTCTCTTGAGGCAGACAAAAGCAAATTCCAACATGAATATTTCTTGGTTTCTTTCAGTTCGGAATAATTCAGTCTTCCAAAACTTATCGTACTTGATAGGACGCAACCTCATGTGAACTGATCCCCATACAATTTAAGGCAGCGTCAGGGTTCCAGAAGCTCGCTGCGTGACCTTTTATTCTCGGGCTCTCAGTGGGGAATTTGCATGGGGCCACCCAATCACGTTTTATTATTTTGTGAAGATGGATTACCATCATCTCTGTGTTCTTCGAGTAGTACTGTGGAAACGTCTCCTGGAGATGGGTAAAAAGAAAACGACATGGATTTCTTTGTGCATGCCCGTGGTGCAGTGAACTAATCCGCTCCGAGCAGGAACAAAGGAGGGCGCATTTTTAAATGAAAATGGCAATCCTTTGGTAGGATCTTACAGCGTAGGGGTGCATTCCACCAAATGGTTGTATTTCTGCGTGCGAGCTCATTAATATTTTGTGATCCCACGGGATTTTTCCAATGAGACAGATCATAATCAGGAGGGATCATAGAAATGTTTCTATAAATCCCGAATTTGGGACTGATAGTTTCCAGTTCGGGGTATTTCTTTCACAAATAGCCCCAAATTGCGGGCCTATTTTGAATAGAGGCGGACGGCTACATTCAGAAATGAGCGCTTAGTTTTGCTGCTATTTTGGGGGTATCTTCCTTGAAAGGCGAATAAAAGAAATATTGTCGTGGCTAACTCCAATGAAATTGAAACGAAAAGTGATCTTCTGGCCATAATCTTGAATTTCCAGAGCAAAAAACGGAGGCCAACCTCTTCACGAGAGTCAACAGGCGGCGCTCTTTCGGTCCCGGATTTTGTACTGTTTTCTATGGTCGCGTATTTGGTGTAGTGCGACCGTAGGCGCGCAAGTTTATGCGTGCCTCGTCTACGCGAAAGTATGGTCCTCGCCTGTCTCCCTTTCGACGGTGAGGGTGCACTTCCACTCAGGGCAGTACACGCCGCATTGAAAACAGTGTAAAATCAACAAAGTTCAGGGCTCAATAAAACCTGAAAGTAAATTTAAAATGTCACGCTGCAAACTTCAAGCTCTGGAACCCTCGTGCGGTCCCCCTATGAGAATTTTACGTGCACCTCTCGCGTTCGACAATTTTGGAAAGAATGATTCATAACTGAAACAACCCCAAAAAACATCCATTTTGGAACTTTCCTTTTTCTTTTGTTTTGGCTTTTACCGACGGACCACCACAAAGTTTAATTCCGTAAACTTTCAACTGCGTACGAGACAGCCGCATTGCAATATTCTTCATTTTCTTAAATTTCCGGAAGTGATGGGTCAATTTTGACAGGATATTTCTCTTTTAGGTAAGGTAATTTTTCAGTTTCTATAAATTGATTTTCTAGCGAATATTTTAAAATAATTTAAGATAAATGAAGAAATTTCTGAAAATTTAAGATAAATGAAGAACTGCGGCTGTCTCGCACGCAGTTGTACGTTTACGGAATATTTTTGAAGGCCTTTGAGTTTTTAAAAAGTAACTGAAAGAAAAACTATTACAAATTCTAAAATTTTTGCACGTTATTTTTCCTATTAAAGGGTTCTAAAAGCGCGCCATCAACTTTCAGGCTCATTATCATGCAAGCCGACATTACTGGAGTTTCCCAAACAAAATTAAGTTATCGTCTTAGCACTAGTCTTTCCATTTCACTTCAATTTTTAGTGAGTTAGCCAATTACATTTGTAATCATTCCCGCAAAACAAACTCATCCCTCAAAAAGTGATAGTTCCCTCTACTTTGGGGGTTATGGAGGCACAGATCTGGGAGGTGGTTGGGTTCGAACCACCCTGTGCTCTGAGCAAAAAAAAATTTTTTTTAAAAGGAACAAACTGGGAAAATAACAAAGGAAATAAATGAAATAGCTGCACTAATACCATTGTAAATAGCGGCAGCAACATCAACAGCAGCAGCTGGAGCAGCGGCAGCCGAAAAGTAGCCATCTGCTTTTCTGCCCTCCAAGGGTCGTAAACGGGGTCGTGAACCTCAGGTCATAACCATTTCCTCTCTAGGGAATTGAACTTAGACGTATAAACCAATACTTACAGTCCACCCTATCTTTTATAATAAAAGATTCACGTTTTCCTTGGACCAAGCAAGCTTGTGTGTCTATAGCTATAAAACTGTATTTCCTTTGAGATGCTGTTTTCTCAGCCTCACAGGGCCACTGATACTGCCGTATGGGATTGGTCCGCAGAAAACATGGTAATGAAGCATTGGTTTCTGTACGTCTTCACTCCCCTAGAACGGAAATGGTCGTAACCTACCGGTTCATGACCCCATTCACGGCCCATTGAGGATAGAAAAACAATGGCCACTTTTCAGCCACCTGTGTAAAATCTGCTTCTCCGGTATCACAGAAGCAGACAAGTTGAATTCACGGTTGTCGCCAAAACGTTCAATCCACTTTCCTGCTTGTTTGACAGGTAAAAAGCAGATGGCCACTCGTCAGCCACCATAAAAAAAGAGAAAAGTAAAACTACTTTGAAGTAGCAGAAAAGCAGAAAAGTGAAATAAATGCATGTTACAAGAAGACGTAGTCAGCTTTTCTACTATTCTTTTCTTTCTTAAGTTTATCAACCTTCGAATGATTAATTTACACTGGTCCCTTATGCTTGGGTCGGGGTGTGGATCCGCTGTGCCTATGCCAATTGTGACAATCTCATTCCCCGGTAAAGACAGACGGGAACTGGCGTGGCGATCCGGGCATTTGTTTCATCAAAAGGGGATAAAGGTGTGCAGTTTGCGGTGTCAAATGAGGCGACACCAGTGGAGCACTAGCTGTCTCAAGTTCTTCACCAATCTCCAAAAGGGCTTGGTGTTGTCAAGTTCTCACTTACATCATGAAGGTGTTCACTGCGGGGTTTCCTGAGACTTTGATCCAGCGTAAAGTTTGAAAAATGTCCCGATTAGACCCAAATTTGGTATGTTTTGCTTTTCCGTATGTTTTCCTCTTACGCATGTTCAATTTTTTTTAAGAGCGACGGAAAACGTCAAGTTTCGCAAAATTTCCTGCAAAATACCTTGTCCGCGGGCGTATTTAGTAATTTCAACACAGCATTTATGGAATTCGGGATACAAGGCATTTGTGAACGACATTTGAGCTGTCTTTGCCAGGTAAAAATGTGAGAAAAAAAGTTTTAAAAAAATCGCATTGTAGGAGGACTTTTATACCCTGGACGTCAGTCCGTAGTGTAAATGAAGACAACGCCCAACCTGGGCCAACGTCAATGCAGCTTTTTTCCTTGGTTACTCTAGCTTGGCTCGGCTTCTATCTACCTATAACGGCCCTGCTGGTGATAGGATGTGACTGTTCCTCTGCACAATAACGATCCCTGGACAGTGTTAGAGACACAATGTGAATTGAAAGGCCTTTGCGAGAGTACCATGACTTCTTACACAATATTCAAACAACCTGCAACAAAATAACTGACAAGCACAAGGCGAGTGCTCTCAGGACTAAACCTGATAACCTATTTGACAACAGATTAATTTATTATAACACATCCATACTAAAAACGAGAAATTAACAATTCACTAGACTTTGGTACCGACACTTAACAAATGCTCAAGTACAAATACTGCATTGAGAAATTGCACTCATTTCAAGAGAATCACAAATAAACTTAAATATTCTGAACAATTTCGTAAGGAGTTGCATTAGTTGGGCACTTCCATAAGTCTCTATGCAATGCAGTTATTTTACGAAATGTAAGATAGAGCACCTTTGTGCGCAAGTTAACCTTGTTAACGTTTTGAGGGGTTTCGCTATTTTACAAGGTATTTCGGTGTCTCTTTGGTGTTTAAGCTAATACAAATTTCAGTATTCACGAGCGAAACTATGACGTCATCCTGGGAAGTAAAACCTCGACCCTGCATTCATTTGTGCTGGAATTTTAGAAACTTTTTCTGCCCTAGAATTCGTTGTCTTTAGTGATTTAAAGTCGCGTAAGTGCTCAGCAATAAGCCAACGGACAAACCTCTCTCAGCAATATTTTCAATGAATACAGTTTCGGTTCACAATTAAAACAGAAAGGTACAAATTGAGATCGGAGGTGTCTTCCTTGACTGACATCACAGCAACAGCGCCCCCAGTTATCCAGCAAATATGAGACAACATGAACTGTTTAAAAAGTGTAATTTTACATCCACTTCAACCCAAAGGGATGCCAACTAGTTGTTGAGGTTGAGGAAGAGTATAAAGATGCAAAAAAAGTGTGTCTGCGAATAAAATCATCACAGCGACCCTGCAATTATATACAGTTAGATTCATTATCCAATAAATATAATGTATATACTTTCTTTTTTAAATTGAGAAATCGGCAGGCAAAAATAATTCCCTGATTCAAAGGAAAGTTTGGGCACTTTCATTTAAGGTGGTCAGGCGTGAACATTGGTGCACCATTTGAAGTACGTAAGTAAGTTTTTTCCACTTTAATAGTCATACATAAGATTTGGATGAAATTTAATCAATTGAAAGTCAAATAAATAATAATTGCATTTATTTATTGGCATTAAATTATCTGCATAAGCATTCCTCCACACTTGATGAGAGGAAACAGGGTTCATGAGTTGATACACATTGCTTTTTGCCCAGGTGGATTTTAGTTATGAAACAACTAAACAATCAAGTACTGTAAATAATAATCTCTTCTTTTTCAATGCACATAAATTTTGCACTACTTTGGTTTCATACATAAAATCTTCTACTACACAACCTGTTCTCAACATTTTACACCTGTTACCGACATCAGGAACTAGTCTTCACAAAAGCATAAAGTGAACTTATAAATACACGAACATGTCCTATAGACAGGTTACCCAAAACAAAGTGTCTGGTGACTGAGAGCTACAGAGAAGGCCAAATGCGAATTCTTCATTTTCAGTGGAAAAAAAACATTTGATCCCAAAAGATCTGTGCATTTTGGGCTACACAGCTCACTGAATTTATTCCATAAAAAGCTGAGTGCATGCATACTCAGGAAGAAAGTTCCTGTGACCTCAAATAACTTGAGGGAAAATGTCACATTTGGTTGATAATTGGTAAGGCTAACGATCTTTCATGACCCGTAATGCAAACATGGCTGTCCATTGTCAGCAGCACCAAGCAGTGAATAAATGTGTTCATAACGCGAATTTCCACTTCTATGTTACATGTCCATAAAGTAATCACATGTTGGTCAGGGAGACTCTTTTTTTTAAGGGCATGCTCACATGCTGAACAGACAATTGTCCCACTGATACTTTACTGTGCAAAAGAACAGTACATTTTTTTCATGAGAATGAGCACAAAGGCTTCGTAATCCAACTTTTTCACTCTTAGTAGAGTGACGTGAGGCAGAGTTCTAGATATTGTGAGATTGAGGGGTCCATACAACTTTTTTCTGGGCAGTAATGGACTGTGCACACCAGAAGGTTTTCATCAGAATGAGCACAAGGACTTATGGTTTCTTTTCCTGCTACTTGTGAACAGCCACGGCCAAAATAAAATAGCACTCGGACAAAGACTACCAAGTTTGGAAGTATATAAATTGGAAATAAGTTGTGGCAGGGCATGTTATTCCTTGTGTGGACATGAGAACAACAGAAGTCTTCACAGTGCAGGTATACATCCATAGTGGGGACCTCCTCTAGACTTCCACAGGTCCAGACGAGGTTTCCCCCCATTCTAAAAACAGGTTTTGTGAAGGCGTTATGGATGTGAGGGTGTCATGTCTTGCAAAATGCTGAGGAACATCACGATTGAGAAGTTGGATTGAAAGAGTGTCTACAGAGGGAATGAAGTGCACCTTTTTTCCTACAGTGCATGACAGCAAGCACAAAAAATACATGGAGCATGTAACGTGGCGTAAACTTGGGTGCGATCTCATAGTGTGCCTGCCCTAAGGGAGTTCATTGCTACACTGTAGCAAATAACAAATTGTTCTCTCGAGACATGGCGCACGTCCTTTGCCTCACCCAAAAAAATACCAATTCCAACATGTACACGTAAAGATCCCCTTTGCCTACATTATCGAACCAGGTCTGAAGCTCAGTGCACATGTATGTGTACAATTTGAAGCAAACAAGCATAGGAACCATCTACACGAGTAAAAAGTATGGCAAAATAAGACTAAGTCGGTACCATCCCGCAAAATGTAAATGTTGCAATCTTGCCTCGAGTACTTTTCAAAACAATATTTTGTCCGCAGGGGCAGAGAACTGTGATTGGTCTACAAACTGAGTTTTCAATATATCATTTATTTCTCTTTGACGGAAAATTCGCTGAACAGGCTTGGGCAATCTGACTCAAGAATCAAGAACAGTCGATTCTTAGCCTAGATTTGGCGATGGGGGCTCTTTTCTCTAGTTCTACATGTACTGTCGGTCTCCAGCGGTCAATTCTAACAAAATTTTCACAGGTGGGCCAACATTGACAAGGAGGTCAAACATCAGAAAATTCTACCAAGAAATTGCTCTCCTGATGCTGAAGATAAAATCATGTCAGTCATTTTTCCGGGAAGACATAAACTGGCCACAAATACCGGCACTATTTCTCCTATTGTATGGCAGTTTTACGTTCATACAGGGTACACCTACTTAATCAGCTCTTGAAATTATTCTCTATGAATTCTGTTTTTAAAGTGACAAATTTCAGATGTCGTTTTATCAATACTCTTTTTTTTTCTCATTGCAAAATTAGTAACACGTTTCAGTATTAACACCTCTCTGTGAAAATTTCGTCTTTGAAAACTACAGACAAGGGAAAGACATTTGAGACGGACTGCATTTCTATTACCAACTTAATACCAGAATGGACACAGATTGGAATTGACCACAGAAATGATACAAACCGCCCAAGACTTGGCGCTACTGCACATTATCAGAGAGCCCGCAAAACGAGCCTGTCTACTTCACGTCCTTCTTCTTGAATTCTTTCACTGCAGATATCAGCGTGTCCTTGTTGGCACCAGAGAAGGACTTCAGTAGCTGTTTGTAGAAGAGATTCAATGTTCAAGTTGTCAGTGCTACATTTATATGTACTGGTATATGTTCTTGTACACCCTGCTTCAAGATAACAAAGGACCGAAGAAACATTATTTTCTGCTTCAAACAGAGGTGTTGACCTCTTACTGGCGAAATTTCAATGTTTGAATCACACAAGCGAAAATGGCCGACTTTTTGTAACATATAGCTAAATCCACAGATGAAGATTCACTAGAGTTGGCAAAATGTGGGAGGGGGAAGGGTCCATCCTCCCCCCCCAAAAAACCCTTGCCTATCACATGCCTGATCTGTTTGAAACTTTTTGGCATCCAATCAATGTAACAATAGTAATGACACTCACTGCAAAGTACATCTGTAAAGTTTCCATTCATTTCCACATAGGGCTTTGATGTCACTGTGGTGTGATATTCATGGCCTTCTGCACATCGGTCTTTGTACACTGAGGAAGTTCAGTATGCCGATGGGAAAAACTTTGTATTTTTTGGATGGCCTGTCTCGGAAAAAAAATGGGCATTGCACGAGAATGGTATGTCCGAATAACACAAAATTAAGGTCACAACAACCGCAACATGATACTTTTGAGAAGAACTCCTTGAGACTTGACGGAATATGCATTGCGATGATGCTAGAGAACATGTCGGGGGGGGGGGTTTCACCTTTTCAGCTCCCCTAGGGTTGAGAGTGCCATCTATTGCTGACAAGGCACAATGTACGCACACTACAGAAGTGTAATCCAAATATGGTCTTGGGCTAAGGCTACGCAATAAAGAACTTCTGAATTTAAAAAAAACCGAGGTCATTTGGGAGCAAAAAAGCACACGTGCAAGTCTGTGAAGGACCAAGCTGACAGGGCAGACCTCGCATGGCCATCCAAATGACCTCCAACAGGCTTCATTTTGGGCATGCGATGTTGCAATACCAAACAAGCTGATTGGACCCATGTCTATTCTCAATCGTGTGGCTGATCATCAAATAAATAACTGCACTTACAAGTTCAAAATTTACATTTTCATTTTTTTCCGAAAAAGTCAGAGCCCAAAATCTGAAGCAATCCAGGAAAATCAAAATGACAAGACAGAAAACAAAACAAAAAGAAAAACAAACAAACAGTTTCCTTAACATGTGCATGTATATGTCCATGTCCGGTACACATGTATGTACATCAGTGAGTATCACAAGAAACAGCAAAATCCACGCACAATCACTTCAAACATCGTCAGTGATGGAAAGCTCAACCATATGACAGAAGGGCTTAATCCTGTTTGAAAACACTCACCTTTCCCTTCTTATAGAAGTGGAAAGTTGGCATGCACTCCACACTACACTCTGCAGCCACGTCCTGGATGGAAGAATGAAGCCGCCAAACGTTAACAAGAAAAATTCAGATCCACGGTAGCCGAGAACTGCCCGAGTGACTCACATAGCAAGCAAAGTGCAAACGTTTCCCAACGTTTGCTGTGACAAATCCCAAGGTTACCCTGGTGCAATTTTTTTTCCCCTTCCGAAAACTACCCAAATTTTTCAAACATAAAAGGACAGGGCTCCCCACGATCAGCGAAAGTGACGACTCACCCCCCCACCCTCTTTCTAAAAGCTTTCTCACCGGTAATTTTAAAAAATTCATCAGTGTTTCTGAACATGCTGTAGAAACTCTGATGTACATGCACATGTTACCGGTACATACATAGAGCATCAATCTTCATGCAAAAATTTCAATTCAAAAACTACAATACATGTAGGTATAAGAACTTCCCTTTTTGTAAAATTCAGTCCCCCCCCCCAATTTTTATTCCAGTAAATTTCTAGGGCATAGTGTCTACTCAGCACTGGCGTACATGCACCTGTCAGGCCTGTAGATGCTTCACTGACCATTTTTCTCTCACAACTTACTTCTTGATCATCAACACTGACTTGGATGAAGCACACGTCTCTGTGTTCCTTGGCAAGTTCCTGAGTGATAAAAAAAAAAGCGCTCAAGATGACCTGAAAGAGACGGCAATCCTTCAAGACCTCCTTTGACACGTCTGCGTCTTCTAACATGTACGGTAGTTGTCCGTTCTCAACACCATCTTTATGTGGTGGCACTGCTCACGGCCGACTGCATCAGACAGACGTGCCATTCTTTGTGTGGCTGTGCAATTTCTGATGTTTACTGTGACACTTAAACGTAGTAGAGGGCGCTGTGCAAAACAAGGTCTGGTGATAAAAGGCACTTATTCGAAAAAAGAAAACGCTTTCCACACTATACATGTACACGTACATTGTGCAAGTCTGGATTTACCTTAAAGGCGGGACTGATGGCCTTACAAGGCCCACACCAGTCAGCATAGAAGTCCACCACCACCAAGACGTCACCACTATGATCCCTGTAGTTCTTAAAATCATCCTAAAAAAAACAAAACAAAAGGAAAATGACCGTTAAACAGCCTGACAGATGGCACACACGTAGTTGGGCATTAATTTCCACCCACTTGCAATACATGTACAGATTGCCTTGCTGTACAATCAACTGTACATTCACGAACATGTACATGTATGCTGATCCAGTGTAGAACCCTGTTTTTTGGGGTTGGGGGGGGAGTTTTTGTTGGGGGTGAGAAATTTTGAGGGCTGAGGTTAACCATGTACATGGTTTTGTTGTTTACTATAAAAAAAACTTGCCTGTATCAGGTTGTTTTGTTAAAAAATCTTTTACTTCCAAGTTCCATTTTAATATACTAAATCACTACAAAAAAGAGGACAAATCCCACATGTACATTATCTACGTACATGTACTGTGTACAGATTGTACATGTACATACATGTACATGTACATGTGTACAGTACATGTACATCTACTCGTTTGCAGATTGCTAGAACTACACATGTACGTGTACTTAAATGCATTATACAGGTAGATGCCTCTTCTTGAATTTCCTAATTATTGCTGGGTGAAAGGGTTTTTCCAAATGCTAAGAGTTCTCTCTGTAATCACTTTTAATAAATCTCCAGCGCTGTCAACTGAAGCTTTGCCCCCCCCCTTGGGGTATTACACAGTACAAACAGATGTATGCATAATCAGCACTTTACATGTATACATGCAGGTGCAGCTGATACACATGTAAGCATGTAAGCAACTTGAAGGTCAGGCTAGACTAGCTCTGTGGTTGACTGAGAAGTTAAAAGCCTTAGATTGAATTTGGAAGGGTAGCAGAAGCCACAATTTCACAATACATGTATGATTACATACTGTACATGTACATACAGTACACTTAGGTTAACATTTGGTGAAACAATAAGTACATTCATTCAACACCCTCAAGAACTGTTTCATTTCACAAAGAAAGGATTATATTCCTCTGATCAGGAAGAACTAAGAATCAATTCACAATTAATTATAAATACGTCTTGTAATGATTACAAAGTGTGAGGGACGAACAGAAGCTTCATTTAAAAAAGGAAGATTCTTTTTAATTCAGAAATGACTAACTGTAATTATGTTGCATTTTGAACATAATGTCCGAGCACATGTACCTTATGGAAATTGGATTTAACTCAATGCCCACAGTAATTTAAAGGAGGGTCATTACAGAGCAACATTTACAATTTTGTCCGTCCCTCACCAATCAAAATCAAAATATTTTTTAACAGAATTATAATCCAATGGCTACAAAATGTACCCTATCTACTGATAATTCAGTCTCCATTCAGATACGAAATTATTTGCACCTACAGAGATAATCCAGCCTTGTTTCAAAAACAGTATACCACGGTTTGGGGCATTCAGCGCGAGCAGATTACCCCCAGGTGTACATGGAATTCTTTTTTTCCCCCTAAAATTATACAATTTCAACTGGTAATTGTACTGACAATAATTGAAATGTAGAAAAATGCATGTAACCTATACAATCCCTTGCAAGAAGTATACTTCCATCTTGAATACATGTGGTCCTATTATTGCAAGATATGGATGAAGTTGAGTGATTTCTTTTCTTTTATGCATGTACTTGTAAGTGGAAATCGCAATTTCATTGTTTTATTACAAAACGCACTTTCATTGCGATTTAGTGGAAATCGCGATTACATTGTGATTTTCAAGAAAACTGCCCAGTACCCTGGAAAACTGTCTATGATGAGCAAAACGCAATTTGAAATGCAAATAACTCAATCGCAATTCGTCCACTTAATTTCGGATGCAACTGTACTTGATTGTATTCTGTCCCTCACATTTAGTTTGGAGGGTCGCCATTACATGGGAATGGAATCAAAACATTTCTTACGACCAGGTACATCAATTTAGATTCTGTCATTACATTCAGGAAGAAATCTTGATAGTCGTAAACTGTTGTGGCAAAGGAAGTCACATTGCCGTCTGTTCCATCCCTATTCAGCCAGTGCTCCAGCTTTCCCGTAAAGAGCTTCCTCTCAAGAGTCTGAATATTAATGTTCTGATTTACCTTGACCAAAGTTTAGAATGTTTCCAAATCTGATATTTTGGGATGAACTGAGAAGGCACCGGTATGTAGTACGGCCAATTTTGTTGACGTCCATCCTCATGACTTAAATTCAACTCTACAATGTACATGTACATGTACCATAAAACCGAGATACACGTACATAAACTGGAAACTTGGTATGTGGCCAACCTGCACATGACAGGACTAAATATACAAATGGGTGTTCTTGAGAAGAAGTATTCCAAAAATTTTTGACAGAACAATTAGGCCTACTGCACTGATGTCCATCCCTCACATGGGGGACAGATTTGAATCACACTTTCCAGTGGGGTATACGAACATGTCATGTGGATTTTATCACTTGTCTGTGAAATGTCAACAGACAGATAAAAAATTCCTTGATGTTTGTTATTACCCTTCAAACTTGTACATGTGAGGTTTTATCAACTAGGCAGGTATGGTGCACGGAAAGGTCACATTTACATCTGTCATGTCTGTGAGTACACTCTGCAATTTAATCATGTTCTTTGGAACAAGCTTACAGCATCCTAGTCACTACAGGCATGGCGTACATGTACATATGGTTTTCTGTAGACTACACACATGTACGTGCACATGTATATTTCACTAAATCAATTTCTAAAACATATACATGTACAGGTACATACATGGACATGTGTACACTGTACATGTAAACGTATATATAAATGTACATGTGTACATAGCATATCAATCGTAAGAATCCTCAGCAAAAATGACCGCAATATACTTCAAGGTACAATGTACCTACATGTATGCCTACTGCAGTATTTAACATGGAAATACCCCAGACAGTCTCCCTATTCAACAATGCGTAAGTTGACCATGCATTAACATAATGACCGCTGAGATTTGATGATGCCCGCTGAGATTTGATAATGCCCCTGTGGGAAAAAAATGCTCTGGCACCTGGATATGACTATGAGACAGTTTAATCCATTCCTATTGGTCAAGAGTCTGCATGTGACACGGTACACAGAAAGCGCATAGTCCATATAATTATGGAGGTTCTTTTGGCCAAGTTGCACAAGGAATAGGCCAATACCATAAAACGGACGAGGTGTCTGGGAAATTGAAAATAAAATTCTGGGAAAAAAAATGGTTCGAAATCTTTCATAAACTGACTTCTTTTAACCCTCATACTACAAAAAGGTATGAATGGGGGTAAATATGGGCTTGGCCGGTCTAGTCGTGTCCACTCCCCAGAGCTGGTTTTAAATGCATGTTTACTGTAAGACTGGCCAAGTACATATTTGGTTCCTTATTAATGTGTACACCAAGTGAGGTCCCATTTTGTGAGTAACCAGGCGGCAACAGGAGATATCAAATGTACAAGTATGTGTATTGCAGTTCGTACCAATAGGCCTATGTACAAATTAGTGCTACATGTAGGTCTACAGTTGGAATTCTTTCCCAGAAAAGTAGGCGGGAGGGAGAGGGGGTCCAGTGGCTCCTCTGCCCCCCCCTCCCTTCCGCAGCCAACTATACATGTACAATGGGCAATACAGCACCGCAATTGGGCAAGCCCACTACCGTGGAGTGCCAATGTAAGGCTGTGCCGAATATCTGAATAACTGAATATTCAATCGATTATCGAATATTCTTTTGTTTTAAATGAGAAAAATTGCACTATGGAAACTTGTTCCAAGTAGATTCAAATGAAACGCGACAAAAGCCTTACAACAATTTAAAAAGTACATTATTCGTTAAAAAATTTAAAAGGAATATACATTTTCAAAAGGACAAGAAGTATTATTCATCTCTTAAATCTTGCTAAATCGTGGCTGGAGCTACTCCCAGAATGTGAGAAGCTATGATATTGCTTATAATGTACAACTGTGTGTGTTATTGCAACTGATTTTGTATATGGTCTGTTCCTCAACAATCTGCCGGTCGGTACAACTGAATATTCAGATATCTAATCGAATTGAAGGTCGAATATTTGAATAGTGAATTATTCAAATTGACTCGGCCCTAATAGCATGTGTCAAAAAAATGTCATGTTGTTTAAGCTATCTCTATTGGCAACTCTTGCTTGGAGAAACCAAGCCCTTGCCACGGATGAAATGCAAGAATGGCGTATACATGTACCGGTACATGTACATTGCAGGCCTCAGCCCCATGGGGCCTACGTGTCGGCCTATGCTACGCTACAGCCTAGGGCCTCCCTACCCACTACCAGGGTACAGCCTTCATGCCCTTAGCATCTAGAACCATAGGTTAGTCATGTTATTGGATACCCACAGAACTCGGGCATTTGTCATCCGCCATGCTCTCAAATGGAAGTGTGAGGGACGACGAACCTCTGAATTCTAGGATAGCCTCACGTATTGAGCTTTTGGTGTCAGGGGAGGGAACAAATTCTAAAGAGAATGCGGCTTCGGGCTCATTCAACTTGCTCACCATGACCGTTGGGGAGAAAAAAAAATGTTAAAACCCTTACTCAGAAATCTGCCCTCAACCCCTCTGCCTACCCATGCATGACTGATGTGAAGTTTGTTCCTTGATCGACATTCAACGTTGATGTTCTAACGTCGAATAAGTAACTGTTTGACATTCAGGGTGCACACCCATAGAAATGATGGCGCGCAAAAGGCACAAAAAAACTAAAATGCACCACCACGCATATCCATTCACATGTGTCTTATTTACATTGTAGCAGTACATGCCATTTCACAATGATGCATGAATACACATACAAATCTCTCCCACAGAGGTACATGTAATCCTGGGCATAGGGTTTTTCGGGGTCAAACTACCCCGGAAATGTAGGAAGTGGGGGTTTTTTTGACGGCATTATAATTATTCGAGGAAAAACAGTTAGTTTCGCTTTCTGTTTTCATCAAAACTATTTCAGTCAATTGAAATAATGTACATCAAGCCTCCCCCCAGAACTGTGGGGTCCGACATCCGTCCCGCTCTGTTCGTGGGAGCAGAATGGATGTCGGACCCCACAATTCTAGAGGTACATCAAGCCCATGTCCCAGGTCTAAACTTATTTTCAAACTTTGCTGCTTCCACTTCAAACAGGGAAATGCAGTTTCCCATGGTTAAAACGGCTTTGACAAAAGTCTTGTCGGTGGACTTCTTTATTTGTAAACCACAGTACTGCATCATACCCCACTTTTCTCAAATCGAAATAAAATACCCAAACCCCATGCCCCGCCTGGAGATTACTGTACATTGAGTCTGATGTCATTGTTCTTCTAAATCAGCAACGACTCTTTCCAACCCAGGGCATGGGTTTTTGGTGGTCAAACCAAACAAGCCCTGAAATGTACATTGTGCAGTTTGTTTTCTGTTCCTTTTGCACTCCATCATTTCTAGGGATGTGCATCCTGAGCAGTCTCCAAATGTCAAACAGTTATTTATTCAATGCTGCATATCAAACAGTTTTCAACATTGAATGTCGAATGTCAAACGTGGAAAAAGTGACTAACTTCACACTTCTCCCACGCTAGCCCCAGACTGGGGGCCAGTCTACTACACTTCCTCCGTATCCTTGGCCCCACAACGGTCATCCCCAAAAGTGGAGACTCCACGTAAACGCCTTCTATGAAATCCCTTTGTGTGTATGGATCACTCCTCCCATAAAACCACCAATGCATTACTTTGGGCAATTTCCAGTTTGTAGAAGTCCATGAAATTTTGATTTCGATTTTGGCCATTCGTTCACGCAAGCGATTCACTTCCTATCATTGACCGATGCCAAACACAGTCGGGGTCTTTTTGGTCTGGGAACCAGACAGCGTTCTTATGTAGAACCCTAGAGCATGACATAGCCAAAGAGAGTAGATGAATGATGAATCAAAATATATATACGATGTTTGGGATCAAGTGTAAACTCGTTGCCTGACATAGCGTTGCATGGCATGCACACCATCCCGCACAATGATGACACATACCCATGAAGATACTCGACAGCTGTCGTTTTCGACGCATTCATTGCATACACAAGACTTCATAACAAGTGATACAAAGTCGCTGATAAAACAGCAGTAGGACCACACATCCTTACACAGCTACATGTTTACTTGTGGCGTATTTCCGTTGTTCTCGTGTACAAAACTCCCACACAACACGCAAAAAATTTCAAATCACTCCAATTTAAACCAAGTTCACTTTCCTGGGTTGAAATTTCGACCAAAGTCCCTTATAAAAAACACTTCAATTTGTGACAGATTTTCACCCATCAAAAATTTCCCCTTTTTGAGTCATTTCCAAATATCAGTTTTGTGAAATTCTTGTATTTTGGTACCCCACAAGGTTTAAAACTGGCCTTTTGGGGGTACTTCCCATTGTTCCGGTACCCAACAAGGCCCCATGTATTTATAAGCGCACCATCTCTTACACCATCTCAGTCTGGTTCCCAGACATACCAGACCAAACAGACCCCGACTGTGTTTGTCATCGGTCAACGATTTGGAGTTCATCACCAGAAAGTAAATGAATAGCCCAAATCGAAACCAAAATTTCATGGACTTGAAATCGCCCAAAGAGCTCAACTACAGAACACCCGCCACCCCACGTGATCAAACTCATAGCCAGGTACAGGTCAAAGTGTCACACTCTTCTCAAGGGATTTTCACCTTGTACCCACGTAACCCGTCATTCCAGGGGTTGTTTTTTAGTGTGGTAGGGTATTCTGCAATTACTCCGCCCAAAGTAATACATCGGTGGTTTGTTGGGGTGAGTGATTCATACACGCAAAAGGGAGTTTTTTGCGAAATCTCCACTTTTTAGATTGATCATTGTGGGGCCAAGAATATGTAAGGAGTCCAGTAGACTGGCCCCCTGTCTGGAACTATCCCCATGCATGCCTAGGCTAAGCCTTTGGTTTAGGGCAAGCTACATGTAATTTCTCTGTTAGTGTACAATGTATTTACCCAATCTTTTTTTTTACTGCAGGCCTACTCTGTACATGCAGTACTGTCCCGACTTCAGAATCAGCCGGGTCAGTATGGATGGACGGACGGACGGACATGACAGAGCTGGCCAAGGCCTTCAACAAATTTGTGCAGACGTTAAAATTGTGCTGAACAAGTTAGACACTTCAGTTAAGTTAGACTGTTCAGTGAATAGTTTTCGGCCAATAAGCCATTTGTGAGTTAAATTTGAATAAAATCTGGTACACTGAGTTATTTGATTGTACAGAAACAAAACAATTTTAATTCCCCAGACTAAAGACACTGTTGCTATATCTTACTTCGAGCACTCTAAGTCACTAACTCTGTGATACTCTGTGTGACTTGGAGGAGACAAGGTTTACATGGCGTCGTAACGCTACCGGGTTTTGGAATCAAATTTTTGGGTTGAAATGGTTCACAGCCGTAAGAAAGCTATTAAATCAAATTTTCCTGTCAGCATAACTGTTTAATCTATACCTCCTAACAGGGGATAACAAAAGTTTCAGAGCATGAGATGGAGTATTTTTGAAAAAAATCAGATTTTTGCGAACAATTTCTCAGTGCTACACGGGAAAATGAAAAAGGAAGGGGCCGTGGCGTGTAGCAAAAAGTGCTAAACCATTGACTTGTGCACAAACCCGGTGCTACACAGTGCTACATGGGAAAATGAAAAAGCCGTGGCATGTAGCAAAAAAGTGCTACACCGTTGACTTGTGCACAAACCCGCTGCTACACAGTGCTACACGTGAGTCAGACATGTCAGAGGAAAGCGTGCAATAGTGTTTCGCGGGAGTTCTGTTCTGTTCTAAGCGTACGCGGATATGTGATGCTTTCACAGCGTACCTGTGAACTTCTGCTCGTTAATGTGCATGCTCAGTTCTGCAGCAGTGTAGCGGTGCTACAAGGAAGACCGTGTGGATTCGGCCGTCTCATTTCTGGCTGCATACGTCGCCGTGTGTGATGTTATCCCCCGCTACCGAAAAAGGTTGAATCAAGATGCGGAGCAAGCATTACGACGCCATGTATACCTTGTCTCCTTTAAGTAACACGGACTATCACGGAGTTCGTGACTGAGAGTTCTCGAAGTAGCTACACCCTGTGATTCGGGGCAAGCTTTTGCATAAAAACCACCATCTCTGGAACATGTGGAATGGACTGGTTCCTTTGTGCCCTTCTTATCCATTAAAAACAGTGTATTGTTGCAAGCCGTCTGTTATGTACACGTAACTAATCACGAGGTATAGCACAGTCATTAGCAAGTGTTTTGGGGTTCATTACCCTTAGCACCCTGTTCCTTTAAGGCAACAAAGTCCACTTTCTCAAAACTAACTAATATTTTGACCTTAAGGAACCATTACTCAATCCTGATGGGCCTAGTTTAGGTAAATTTTGACAATATTTAAGCAAGAAAACTTCAAACTTGTAACCCGAGTTTGACAAAAGACAACCACTCAGTCCAATGATGCCGTCTTGTTTTTCATCTGGTTACCTGACTCAGGCTTTTGGGATTCGTCAAAACAAATCTCCATCCAAGCCAAGGAACCAGACTACATTCGCTCACAGCTCTCTTTGGGGCGGTCATCTACGCTGCCGTTTTACCCAAAAATCTCTCTCAAAAACCAAAAGTACTGTTCTCTTTTCTTTCTGATATGAAAAAGACATCAGCAACAACTTCTTTAGATAGGCCCTGCGTTATTTCGAAAAAGTAGAATTCGTTCCCCTATACATTTGTAATAATAGGAACAGGGTGCTAAGGTAACGAACCCCACTTTATAGTATGGAGAATTCAAACTGCTATGTTCACGTGAATTTAAAGAANAGGATATGTGATGCTTTCACAGCGTACCTGTGAACTTCTGATCGTTAATGTGCATGCTCAGTTCTGCAGCAGTGTAGCGGTGCTACAAGGAAGACCGTGTGGATTCGGCCGTCTCATTTCTGGCTGCATACGTCGCCGTGTGTGATGTTATCCCCCGCTACCGAAAAAGGTTGAATCAAGATGCGGAGCAAGCGTTACGACGCCATGTATACCTTGTCTCCTCTAAGTAACACGGAGTTAGTGACTGAGAGTTCTCGAAGTAGCTACACCCTGTGATTCGGGGCAAGCTTTTGCATAAAAACCACCATCTCTGGAACATGTGGAATGGACTGGTTCCTTTGTGCCCTTCTTATCCATTAAAAACAGTGTATTGTTGCAAACCGTCTGTTATGTACATGTAACTAATCACGAGGTATAGCACAGTCATTAGCAAGTGTTTTGGGGTTCATTACCCTTAGCACCCTGTTTTTTTAAGCCAACAAAGTCCACTTTCTCAAAACTAACTAATATTTTGACCTTAAGGAACCATTACTCAATCCTGATGGGCCTAGTTTAGGTACATTTTGACAATATTTAAGCAAGAAAACTTCAAACTTGTAACCCGAGTTTGACAAAAGACAACCACTCAGTCGAATGATGCCGTCTTGTTTTTCATCTGGTTACCTGACTCAGGCTTTTGGGATTCGTCAAAACAAATCTCCATCCAAGCCAAGGAACCAGACTACATTCGCTCACAGCTCTCTTTGGGGCGGTCATCTACGCTGCCGTTTTACCCAAAAATCTCTCTCAAAAACCAAAAGCACTGTTCTCTTTTCTTTCTGATATGAAAAGGACATCAGCAACAACTTCTTTAGATAGGCCCTGCGTTATTTCGTTATTTCGAAAAAGTAGAATTTGTTCCCCTATACATTTGTAATAATAGGAACAGGGTGCTAAGGTAACGAACCCCACTTTATAGTATGGAGAATTCAAATTGCTATGTTCACGTGAATTTAAAGAACCCAGTGTAGGCCCATGGAGGCCCTTCCAGATTTTATTCCACTTAAACTCTCGCTCGCAAAAGGCTTATTGCCAACTGGGCTAACCATGCTAACGTTATCATTCAGTGAATGATCAGCTTACCAAACACTCGATTTCGTGTATCGTTCCTGTCCCTTGAATGGCGGCCATCGTAACTGATTCTAGCTTTAGTTACCCCGCAAACTTGGCCGGCGACTGTGATCACGGTGAGCCAAGCGAATGGGTTGCCAAGGTTGTCTCAAGCTTGCCTGCCGAGAGTACGACGAGGACCCCGCTGTTTTGATTTCAGCGGATGAATGAGCACAAACTGATGGTGTGCCCGATCGTCGTACCCTCTAGCGAAATGGTAAAATGTCTGCAGATTCCCGATTCCTCGATCGAAATAACTAAATAGTGAAAAGTATCGATACTCACGATATAGACGCTCGCTCCAATGAATGAATTTTATGGTCAGATTATATCTTGCAAGAAGGGGAAACGCTACAAATCTTTCAAACAAATATATTTAAACGTCTGTAAAAACTTAGTCTTCGTCTTCTGACTGCTCAAGTTTTACGTGCCTTAGTTTCCCTATTCACTCTGACGTAAAATCAAGATAAAGTTCTCGTGCTGTAAATTCTGCTACTTCTGACAGCGTGTTTAATTTGAGTCTCAGGAATAGCAATAGCAGCGCTAGCATCTTAAACGACTCGAGAAATTTATTTAAAACGAGGAGATGCCAAGTGCCACATTCAATCTGTCACCAGGTGAAATTATACTCTTCGTTTGACGAATGTGGAACATACATTAAACGCCCGAGGAACCCCCATAAAAGCCGCCATTTTCCTCTCCACGTCTTTAATACTAGGATGACAAATTTCGACGTGATGTTGTCACGTTTAGTTCACGCTTCAGCATTTTCTTGGGTGTCTGAAAAATTACATGTACTCTAGTCTTTTGAGAACATGTTTAATGTATTTGTCTAGATGAGAAGCATTATTACGTGATGTGCTGAAAAATTCCTTAATCAGAAGAATTAAACCTGGTGCTTTGCGTTCAGAGCCTATTACTTCGTGTGAAGGGCAGTGCGCGTGCGTAGTGCATAGTGCTAAAATGGACAATGGAGATTTCACCGTGACATTTTATTTGGAGGTCTTTCGAATTTTTGTCAAGCGTTTTCAAACACGCAGTTTTCTGCCTGCAGAAATTGGGATCTTCGCTTCAACAATTCTGGCGGCATCCCTTAATGTGGACAACTAGAAACTTCAAATTCCCACTCGCAAAAACTCATTGAGATGCTGGATTCAATCTTTTCGTTTCATGAATGGGAAACATTTCTGATTTAGTTTCGTACAAATCCTGAAGCCGGCATAAAATCGCAATTATAAAGTTTCAACGCCCCCCCAACAGTTCATATTAATTCAACTGATTTTACAGAGTGTCTCACAATTTGCTCTTATCGTTTGATAGCACATTTCTTTCGTTTCTTTACACTGATGGTAGTGTCATCCTTGCAGTTTAAATACCACTTCAGAAATGCCATCAGTTAGAAGAAAAAATGATTGTGCTACGGTTGACCTTATGTGACGAGCTGTGCTTCAGCGCCATACACTAGTCCTTTGTTTTTGTATGTTGACGTGTTATAGACAAAATACATGTTAATTATATATAACGGCTTTGCCCTTACCCAACGTATATTAATAAACGACTGTATGCTCAGTGCTTGTATATATATAATTAACATCTCCCCAACGCAAAAATACATCTTGAAAATACATGTTGTAGCTTTGATTGCATGCTCAAAACCTCCTACTAAAGTAGAGTGATTGAAGACCCCAAAGAAACCGCAATGAACTTCCATCTGTTTTCTTGGAAAAAACTTCCACCATCTGTAAACAAAGAGGCGAGAAAAACAAGAAGAAAGAGCTCTCCTTTTCCCTTACTTAAAACTGCCTCCGTTTTATTTTTTCTTGAAATTAAGTTGTCCCTCTTATACAAGCAATTTTAAGTTGGATTCCTTTTTCATGCAGCCATCGAACTGGGCAGTCTCTGTTCATTCGGTTAAAAATCGATTGTCACGTTGTACCTTCACGAGGCTCACCAGTATCGATTAGAAACAACTCTGCAAAATTCTACAGTAGCTTAGGTGGTTCAATCTTCCCATCATGCATCATTTTCCGCGCCAGTTACGTACACACATACATGACATACCAAAGATCGTATGACGCTGCGTAATGCAAATGACGTATTGATAGAAAAACATGTCCGACGGCCTGCCGTAGTTCCGGAGAACTGAAGTGAATGAACATTTCGTCGTTGAATCTGTATCAGAGCAGTTCTGATTGAACTTCTCGTAACAGATGGATTCTGAAGTGGCCACCGAAACTCCAGTTAACGGTCAAGGGGACACTAAGCCAAAAAGAGGAGCCGGGGACAATCACACGAAGTCTAACCGGATCACACGATTGCCCCTGACAAGAATCAAGAACATTATGAAAACAGACCCGGACGTGACCTTAGCCAGCCAGGAATCAGTCCTTCTCATAGCCAAAGCAACGGTATAGTTTCGTTGTACTACTAATAATAGGGAACCTAGGTCGATAAAGTTCCAAAGACTCTTCTAAGTACTAGACATAACTAGAACCAAGACCATGCCAGTTCCGTTGGGCCACGGTCGGGCACTGAACCTGCTGCAGTGCCGGATCAGTGAATGCTGTAACATGAGGCCTTGAAGTTGAAGTTTCATGACACTTCGTGACTTTAGTTGAACTTGTAAGATAGGACTAACCTCCAGTAACTGCTGTCATTTACAGTTTCTGGAAATAAATACCTTAATAATCTTGATAATGTTCCTGCTTAAATTGGACATGTTGGACTTTTCAGAACATGGGCCTAGGCCCACTGTATTACTGCTTTCAGATGGTCAATATGGGTAGGTCATTGCAGGGAAAGTTTCATGGAATTATCGGTTGGGAGGGAATGCTGAAGATTTTGCCTTATCAGCAAATGAGCATGATGTCCAATTTTACTGTCACAAATACAGCGTCCGTAGCATATACATGTATAAAGAGAGGTCTCAGAGGATCATTCAGAACAAAAAACATCCAGGTGAAAAGAGTGCTCAAAAAAAACAAAAAAAACAGCTGGACTCTTCAAACTGTAGTTTGCCAATTGGTTGAATTTTCATGAGCGGCGGAAGAGTACATTTTGCATTTGACAATGTTCTTTTCCTTAGGAGCTGTTCTTAGATCACTTTGCCAAAATGTCCTACAGTCACACCGCCAGGAGCAAGCGAAAAACAATCAAAAGACAAGATATCGGTAAGTGCCATGCTGACTGTTAAATGTTAACGGATGCTTTCAAGGGTACTCAGTAACAAGAAAGACCGATCAATGTTGAATTGGACATCTTTTCTCTTCCTCTCGGTTTTTATTTGACAGACCTTTCTGTTGAAGCCTTGGATGCCTATGCATTTCTCGAAGGTAGGCTGATGAATAAGGGCTGTTTTAAGCCTGAAAGGGCTTGGCTTTTTCAAACCCTGCAGTGGGTTTTGAAGAAGGAAGGGTCATCCCCCCACCCCACCCCCATCTTTCTAACATAACCGCTTTGCATGTATTTTGGGGGGGCACCAAGCCTTTGGCAGATTTTAGTAATACCTCGGTGGTCATTGTGACACCGATTTGGGAAAATACTCTTGGACAAACATGGACCTTGTGCACTGACTGCTCAATGCACCTGGGCTGACATTTTAACTTCAAATGCCTGTAATAACAAAACTGTATGTCGGATTGAGTAGAAACTTCACACTTTTGATGAAAATTTCTTTACATGCATATCAATTGTTAGCAAAATCAGGCATGGAACAACAGCTGTGTTCTTAGGGAGGGCAGAATTCCCCCCCCCCCCAGCTGCGAGATGTTCCAAAAAAACCTGCCTCTTTGGGGGTTGAACAAACGTACAGACGGTCATCGGCTATTCCAATGAGTAATTCCTCATCCATTAGATACAGTTTATTATTTCTTTATTTTTCATTTATTTATTTATTTGATTTACTGACTGTGATCCAGTGAACTGAGCCCAATTTCTCGGGTACATGTCTGATCGCTCGAATGCCCCTCAATGGAACTTTTGGCTTTTGGTTCATCTTGTTTTCATTCAGGGATGCTTGAGTGAGGTGCTCTAAAAACTGGTGTTGTTTTGAGGTCGGCAAACAAGATCTGGAGTTGTCATGCTTACGGAAAGGCAGAGACTACATGTACATGTGCTCTTTTGGTGCTAACATGAAAACAAACATGCACAAAACAACTGGGTCAACACTTTCACTGTGCAGAGAAACATGCAAGTACATTTTCTTAAATGTACAAGTCTTACAGTGAATCAAACAGAGGAGCTGGTATATGGACCTGAATGTAATTTTCCTGTACATTGTATGCACATTTCGTCTATACAGTGTAGTTACGAACAGTTTATCTTTTTAAGAAGTTGAACCTGCCAATCATAATGAAGTCATCTGCCCTGCCTGAGGAAGTGCTAAGGAGCTAGCTCTTGGCCTTCAGGGGCCACTTCTTGAAAATGTTTAGAGCAATTTATTGACTTTTTCTGCAGTCAGCTTCCCACTCTGGTACATGTATGGGGGGCATGAGGCACGGAACATTTAAGGCATAAATTGCTCAAAATTGAATTAGTATTTAGTGTCCCCAACTGTTTCTTGTAGGAGGCTACATTGTAACTTGTTTTTTAATACCTCAGAAAAATGATTTGAAAACACAGAAGCACTGTGTATGTGTGCAGTTTCATTGCCTAGCTTTCTCTTTCATTTGTCTTTGAATACAAAATAGGTCATTCGCACACTGGCTGCCATCTTTCAAATAGATAAGAAGCCTCATTTCCCCCCTTTTGTTTTCAAAAACCTGGACTCTAAACATGGTTACTTAACATTTGGCATTTAATTAAAAATGACGAAAACTTGAGCATGCATTTGGTATCGGAGGGGCAAAGGCGATAACAGGAAGTGTGATGACTCTAAGAGTGGTAGTTATGAATTGTTGGTCTGCGTTCATGAGGATACAACAGGGCCGAGTTCGGGCGGCTTGTTCCCGTATGTTCACGAACAGCTCGGTTTGTTGTTTGTGGGTCGGCCGCTCGAACACCGGGAACAAACAACTGGTTATCGCTGGTAGTTTAGTGACAAGCAACATGCAACTGGCGGCGTCTGTGTAGCCTACGTTATTCGAGAGGTAATGTTTGGATGGGCTGAATTCTTTTCTATATATTAGGAACATTCATTTCTGTGTTACGGAAAATAATTAATGTTAATTTTGCAAAACTTCCCATTGTCTATTGATTTGGAGAGCCATCTCTTTACTTTTTGCAGCTGTTCAAAAATCTAAATCTCACCAGTTTTTCCGTGTGTTCCTGTAAAACCCTGACAAGGAGGTGGTGTGTGATCCTGTTCCAAGAACAGTGTTCTTGAGTCATGTTCCCGCCGGGCCGTTCGAGCGCGAGAACAAGAAACCCGTGTCGAGAACAGGCCGCCCGAACTCGACCCAGGAGTCCTTAGAGGATTTGGAAAGCTTTTGGATGAAACAAGTTAGCAACCAGTCATTCGTTTACTTTGTATGGCTTGATGGGTGTTGTGGAGAGTTGCAGCACAAGGTTTTCTGCTTTTCATCTCCTGCCAAAAAGGGGGGGGGTATTGGAGGATTTGGTAAGGTTTGTGGCAAGTAGGGAGTTGAGGGTCGAAAACCTGATGTGTCCCCATCAAAAGAAGAAATACATGCTCACAGGGATGGTAAGTACAACTACATGTTCACCAAGAGTTTCACAAGGACAGGAAAACTGCTTTTTATTTGTTAAAAATCAAGCGATTTTTTGGACATGCATTTTATTTTGTTTTTTTTTTCCAAATGCATGTAAAAAAAACACAAAATGTTACACGCATTTGAAGGAACTCTCAAATTTTTAGGCAGCCCCCCCAAGAACCCCCCCAATAGTTTGCTCTGGATCTGCCCACGGGTGGGACTATTTATATTGAGCACAAACGTGAACGTCACAGGAAAGAAAGTAGGTCAATTATCCGATATCGATTCTTCATTGGCCAACCTGCTTTTGATGAAACCTGATATGTGTATGTTGAAAGTATGATTAGAAAAATAGTAGATTTCATCTGATAACATTATACATCTAAGTACAAGCACATGTACTATGCTTAGATGAAATCTATTGATTTTTTGATCAAGTGCAAAAATGTTTACAATTATGCAGTATTATTAGGCAGATGCAGTAGCAGATTCTTTCAATAGAATGTAAATGGAATAAGAAAAACTGCCACAGTTTGTTTATATTGAAACCAAGCAGGAACTCGTGTTTGAAACTTATATTTTGTCAGTCGCTCTAAAGGTGGTTTGTTCAATCAAGAACTTGGATATGTGTGATATTGAATCAAGCAGTGAATGCAACAAGGGAATGACAATGTACATGTTCATCGAAAAAGGGGTAACTAAACAAGTCCATAGTGGGGAAAATGAGGCTACCAGACGACCAAGTGGTCTGCGTACAAAAAAGCAAGTAACGAAATTATTGTTTAGAGTTAGAAAATATTTCAGTAAATATCTTCAGAATGTAACAGTTACATGTACGAGAAACAAATTGTTGACATGCAAGGCTTTTGGAGTTTTCCTTGCGTTGGTGAGATAAGCAAATCTAATGGCCTCGAACGTCCGCACTAGTTTCGACGAAGTTGCGTCAAAACATAATTTTCGGATCATAACTTTGCCAGACTAAGTTCCCGTGTATCATCAGCGCGTGTTTGGTTAGTCTTTAGTCAAGGCGTGCATGGCACCCTGAATGCTTAGCTGATAGTGCGAGTGGCATACCGTGGAGTTATTTTGATACCTATGTGCTCAACCTTGTTGCCATGGGTACGATCGTGCCACGCCATATTTGTTCCCATGATGCCTAGTGCAATCTAACCCCCGGTACAGTATAATTTAAATATCCCACTATGGGATGTAAAAAAAAATTAGAAAGGTACTCTGTCGTCTGCTCACTGCAAAAATGGAAAGGCATCTACCAAATTTAATGAGCTTTATCATTGCAATACAATCACTTGATGAATCAACAGATTTGCTCTGAATTATCGTCATATATGCCATAATGATCAGATGAATATAAATGTCGTCACAACTCGCAGGGAATCTGTGCCCAAAGTAGAGGAATACGTTTAGTATACCCTTCCACAGTACGAACCAACTTACTTTAAGGGACGTTTTCAGCTTGAAAGAAGTACATTCGAGCTTCTCATTGAACAACTCGGGCCCTGTCCAGAATTGAGACCTAGACAGATCCCTTGAAATCTACATAACCCTTTCAGCCCCAGAAGTGCCAGCTGGGCTCATAGTGGCATGCGGGTTCTTTACCAAGGAGTCTTTGTGTCCCACGGTTTTAGTGTCATTGCGTTACCAACGTTCCTCTTTAGCGCACAGACCAAAATGCCAGCAGCGGGAATGTAAATAGCGCTCTCTCCCGTTTGACATCGTCTCGAGCGCTCTGTTTGGACGAGATGGCTTGGGGAGGCGCTTGGCGCGTCCATACAAAAACCACAAGAGGCGAAATGGCCGGAGCTTCGGACATTATCGACAAAATTTTAGCAGATAGTAGCTCCGAAATATCCTCAGATGAAACTCCTGTCCTCGTCCTCATCAGAAGAAAGTGATGATGACTTAGTGGCGACCACATCCTTCACCACATCGAAGCCACCAGGCACCCCCAAGCCGAACTCCAGGTAGGCCTAAGGCATGTACACATGTACAGCCTTGCAACAATGTATTGCATTTTATAACCACTAGAAGGCTTTCCACATTTTCCCGATGTCCCGAATGTATCACGAATCCTAATTGCTAAGCAAGGAAGAGGAAGGATTCCAATCTCTATTCTTTAAACCAAGAGATGTAAAGTGCCGTCTCAATGCAGATTACCTTGTCATGGTTTTCCATGCTTTTGTCCCAGCTCATTTGAATAACTTGTGAAATGGCTTCAGATTGAATGATTTGAGATGGACTAGTGATGGGCTTACAGGACTTGCAGAGACTTGTGATGGACTCGCATGCATTACTGCTAGCCACGAAATGATCAATCTAAATCACATGTGTCAAAGTCGCAAGCCATGTAGGTTGAGTCTGTGTCCAAAGCGTGATTCCCAAAGGTCACGTCAAAGTCAAAGATTGAGTTCAAGTCATGAGTCACCTTAGATTTTTCCCTGTGATGTCACGATCTTACTGGACCTATGATGTGTTGTGATGGTAATCTACCTATTCAAGATAAACTAGTCAAGCATCGCACGTGTGCTTGCCGTAGGAATGTACTGCGGTCACCATGGCCAAGGCGGTCCACACCTGGTGGTATTGTTTTCATTTAGTCATGTTGTAGGTGAAAAAGGTCTATAAAAACATTAAACATTTCCATTTTCACAGTTTTTTCTTGGCAAAAGTTAAAATTGGATAATATTATTGCAGATCCCAGTACTGGTGCGGTAAGTTAATGTTTTTCCTTTTTTTTCATAAAGGAATAAATGTGTGCTTGACTTTTCATATACAAACAGGTCCCCGTAACAAGGCATTGTACTCCTCCAATATTTTCCCAAGAAGTTTAAGACTTGTAGAAAGCATGTCAACAACTTTTATAAAGATAGCTCAAGTTGAACAACTGCTGGAGGAAAATGGCTTTCTCCGGTAGAAGTACTGATAAAAGATGAACAACATGTTCCGTTCCTCCGTCAGTAAGTTGTTGCACTAAGATTTTGTTGTCTTCATGGACAGATTTCATGAAAGAAAGGAATTGGTGATTCCTTCCATATAATCCATTATCTGACTTGACTTCTGATGCGTCAACCCATGGTTCCTGGTTTTCTTGTCTCTTAGTGTTAGTTTTGGCCCACGAGTTGATTCCTCATCTGCATGAATTACCCAGGTTGTTCACTTCCTTTAGTTCACGGTCACACGTGTATGCCGACTTCATGTTGAGGTCATTTCCCATAAGGATCTGCATTTTCTATAGCCCGTTTAATAATTATAATAAAATTAATAATGCCTTCTCTAAAAGCACCTTACATTGTAAAACAATCTCAAGGCTCCTTACAATTGGATAAAAATTACACAAAATGGAAGTTGATGTTAGTGAATTACACAAACATTCTAAAAACAGTTCCATGCAGTTGTAATCAACTGTAATAAAGGCACTGAAAAGTTACAAATGGATATAAATAGGAGTTAAAATTCAATGAAATTGAATCAAGATGGGATAAAATCATTTGAAGTGACTTGTTGAGTTGCCTGTCTTTGTGCAAGCCTGGACGTACATGTAGGTTCCTGTAGGACCTCTTCAAACTTTTCACATTTTCCTCGCACTTTTCGGCAGGTATACCCATCAATTCTTTTTCAATCTGCTTCCACAAAGGCTTCTTAACTTTAGACTCTTTTGAGTTTCTCTTCATACCTCGTCATAATGTCGATAAGCTTACGGGTTTTGCGGTCCGACCACACGTCTGGTACTATATTGGATCCTCAATACTGAGAGAAATTATGCAAGTGTCATGAAATTGCATTGACTAAAATTCTCTTTCACCCGCTCAAAACAGCCAACCCGACGTATCTTTTGTAATACGTTAACAGTGAATTCTTTTGAAGTATTGAGCCTTCATTTTTCGAGTCACTCTATAGTCATTTTGATACAAGTTTATTAAAGTTATGCATACCAATCTTGCACAGCACCATTTTTCAAAAGACAAATCAGTCAAAAACATACGTTTTCGCTAACGTGCTCAATGCACATGAGCTGGCACATGTATGGCCTTGAATTTCAAGGATCTTGAGGGGTTTTTCCCAGGAAAACTATATGGTGTGAGTTTGGGGGTTGAATCCTCTCCCTCATCTGGAAGATGGTTCAAGGAATATTAATACAAGATTTGCATCATGACATGGACAAGCACTAAGATTGTAAATACTCTCTATGGTTGTGGATGCCTGTACATTACCCCC